TGTGGGGAGTTTTTCCAAAACCTTTGAATGATGTGCTTCAATGAATTGTGCCACCCAGTGGTTGAAGCAGGAAGGGAAGGTTGTGAATTGCCAGCAGTAAAATCCACCACGCAGCTCTGCGGGGACTCCAGAAGGTCACGGGGCAGGGTGCCCTCCTCTAGGAGTTGGCTCGTGCCGCCTCCAAAAGTCACAGATGCACTCAGACGCTTGAACTACCAACAACAAAGATGTGAATCAGTTACACTGCCACAGAGTTAATAAGGAAGATAATAGCAACGACTAAGTACACAAGCTAAACTAGTGCTGGGCAAGTAATCGATCATTTTTGAGTGTGCTATTTTATTTCCCCTGTCCGGCTTCCGTAGTTCAAATCACGCCCCGAACAACCTGCACTGCTTACACAAACGACATGGCTGCCAACAGAATGGAGGTAGGTCATAAAAGCAGTCTGTGTTGCCAATGCGTGTCTGTTCTCATCCCTCTAGTAATTATTTTTCCCAGAAAAGCAACCAGCAACTTTAATTCAAGCTCAGAAACTACAACATGAAGAGAAACATTTTCATCACCGTTTTCCCTGTCGGAGCTCGGAGCAAGGCAATCATGGTGTCAATGGCGCTAAACATTAATACATGGTGTCAACACAATTTAGCAACACCCTGATAATATATTGATCCATCCATTTTCAACACCGCTTATGCTGAACAGAGTTGCGGGGAGTTTCTGGAGCCTGATCCCAGCTGAATTGAGGCGGAAGGCAAACTACACCCTGAACTGGTCGCCAGTTAGTCGCAGGGCACATATGGAGCACAAACAACCATTCACACTCACATCTGCACCGTCACTGAGTGGGAAACGATCCTACGCTGCCGGTACACAAGTTAGGCAAGTGTACCACTACACCATCAGCAACTGCTTTATTAATCAATATTTAAAATGTTGCGCGGTTGTTCATCTCTGTGTGCCCTGCGATTGGCTGGCAACCCGTTTAGGGTGTCCCCTGCCTACTGCCCGAACACAGCTCCAGCACCCCCCGCGACGCTTGTGAGGATAAAGTGGATTGGAAAATGGATGGGGAGAGAGAGATAGAGTGGGAGAGAAAGACTATATAGGATATATAGCGTCATTGTCATTTGCTTTTTCAAAAAGAAAAGGGTTAAATATTCATATGACATAACATGAGGTCTCTAGTTCAAAATATCAACTAAGGTGGTTGAGAAAGGATCAGGAGCTATTGCCCTTAAGAACAATGCACAAGCGAGTAACTTTCCAGAAAAATTTCCCAGAGGATCTGAGGACTGATGCTGCCTAGCAGCGGACATTTAGCAGATAAACAATCAAGCTCATTAGGAGGCGAACTTTGTCTATAAATAGTTGTCTTCATCAGACAAGCACTTGTTTGGCAGGTAAATTTCTACTTATGCTATTCTCTTCCATCCTGACCGCTGCAAACAAACCTGCTTGCCCGTGAGGAAAATGAAGGTTGTGCCTGCAAAAAGCTGTTTGCGCCTCAGATCTGGCTCCAGATTCACCTCCTCATTTCTCAAACTTGGCTCGTCGATGTCAGGGATGAATCTGTAAAACAAGCACATATGAGACCATGTTTGAGAACCCTGGAGACTGCGATAGCACATTACCCTTCCGCTTTAGGAGGTGGTAGCTTCTGCTGAGCTGCTTTGTTGAGCTCTGAGAAAAACTCCGGCTTCACGATAGGACAGCAGCACAGCAGAGCTGAAATTGTCTAATGGAGGTAAGTCATACAAAACATGCACACTGTTAACAAGAAACACATCACAGATAAAATTAAGCATTGCCCTGACCTTGATGGTGACTTTAACAGAAGGCATGACCAGGTGCGTGCAGTCCTTGGTCCACGTACTGACCAGGTTTCCTCCAAACAGCTGCAGAGCCTCAGAGAGTGCAGCTTTGCCATCGTTGTCCAAACAAGAAGAACACACTACTGGCTTCTGATGATCCACACTGGGCAAGAAAAAGAGAAAAATGTCAAATAAGTGCTGGGCGGTAACACCTTCAAATAAAATCTGATTTATTGTTTACTCCCCTATAACACTGGTCAACAGCAAATTTTAATCAAACCAATCTGGAAAACTTGCATCCCTGATTTTAAAAACGTAGTAAAATTTGTTGACTATAGATTAACCTAATTTGCGATTGTTTTCCTCCTATAAAAGAAAATGACAATGACAATTCAAAGCAAGTTTGGATTTTTGTTCTATTTCCCGTTTTGGGATTTTTATTTTTCTCTTGATATCAAACAAGCTTTTACAGTGAGTTTGTCCCCCAACATTAAGTTGTATCAACTTCTATTAGCAAAAAGAAAAATAAATTCTAACCAATGTAAAAAGAAGTGTTTCCTTTTGCTAAATGTCCCTTTTCTCAAACGTATAAAACACAATCCTGAATAACTGAACATTTTTTGTTACCAAAACAAATTAACTTAATGAGCAACATCAACAATGAGCTGACAAATAATACCTGCTGTTGGCAATGTACAGTATGTGTGGTTTGTTGTTTCAGTACCTGAATTTGGATTGAAAAACCCCAAATGTAATGCTGTCCCCAGACTTCAGGTTGACTGGAGAGTTCTGTGCCAGGGGCTGGCCATTGACGACAGTGCCGTACTTGGAGGTGTCCCTCAGGGTCAGTGTCTGAAGTAAGTCAAAGTTTTAGATATACAGTACCAAGACAGGTATTTGTCTAACTGACAAATTCACATACTTGGATGTGGCCACACACCCTGTTCTAGGAGAATAGGCTACATCTTAGCTACTAGATTACCGGTAATTTGTTTAAATGGTTTTGGTTGTTGTTGTTGACTGAACAAATAAAGATTTTCAAGAGAAATATTAACTCTTGTTTTTATTATGTTTTTAGCAATTACATATGTTACTACACAAAACACTATGAACGAGTTTAACAAAGTTCATTTGCTTCGCATTTGCAGCTTACTGAGCATTAGAAACCAGACACTGGCTCATTTGTATACTGAAGGGTTCTGCAGACAGCTATCCATAACAGTGAGCCGGAACAGGAACAAGCGGATGCACGGGCTAAATGGTCTTTCTGTCATCTAGTGGAAGAGCATATAATTGTTCTTCCTGTCACAAAATGTTGTTGAGATGGAGAGATAAACCGAGCTACAATAATAATTTACGAATCAATTAAGTGGGACTGGTTGAATCGATAATTTAAAAAAATTGTAGTACAGTGGTCGTAAATCACTAATCTAATGCGATGCAATTCTATCTGACAAAGTAGAACAACTACCTCCAGTGTACATAACATGTCATTCCAGGTCATCATCTTTCTCACCTGATCAGTAACTATGAAGTGAGCATGAGCTCTGCTGATAGATTGGTCACTCGGCAGCACGATGTCACAGTTCTTGCGACCCACCACATACTCTTTACCGGAGAGGAGATAGTGGGTCTCACCTATTTGCAAAAAAGAGGGCATATAATGACTTTTGAAAATGTCTATTCTTATTCTATGACTTAACCTTGCCTCACAAATGGCTGACGATGCCCAAATGTCTTACCCTCTTCAGCTCCTACGAGACAAATTTAACGTTCGTTACTAAGTGCACACGGCGAAGACATAAAACGAGTACTTTGGCCTCATGTTGATAGTCTGAAATTTATTGACTGGCACGCGCATACTTACAGCGAAATGAAAGCTAATTAAGCGCATTGATTTATGTGAGTTGCTTGCGCAAACACGTCAGTATCGAGAGAAAAAGTTACCTCCTCGCTCCATTGGACTCAGTATCCACATTTTGATCTTAGACGCTTTTCCTCCGTCTGATAACTTTGAATGCGAAATAAAATTTACAGAAAAACCAAGACGTTTTCGCCCCTTGCAGCCACGAATGATAGGAAGTGCATTGCATTGCGCACGCGCGACCGCGTGACGTCAAATGCCTGCGTCTCGATATTCTACTGTTGTGATTCCAGTACAGTACAGTCGTTGGCTTCAACCGGAAGCGTTTTTGGATTTTGGCGCCAAATTACCAGAAACTAAACGCACACAAATATTTTTTTTATTTCATCAATAATATATAGTCAGAAGTATGTGATTTATAAGGTTGTCTATATGCTTGAAAAAAGACTGTCTGAAAAAACACTGGCACAACGTGTGTGTATTTGTGTGTATTTGTGTGTGCGTGTGTGTGCGTGTGTGTGCGTGTGTGTGTGTACATATGAAAAATCAGGTTATTGCCTGGTGATGTTTTAACATGATAGGTGCACAGGTGTAAAGAGAATAAATATAACTCTTTCTGAACTGTGTACAGTTCTCTTTATCCACATTTATTTTTGTGCATGCAAACACTTTGTTTTTCTTCTTTCTACCCCCAAATTTGCTGCTGTAGACTGTAAATTTCCCCAGTGTGGGACAAATAAAGGATAAAAGAATGTCTTATAATTTCGAAATATACATTGTTTTATTAAAAATAACATGCACATAAAGGCAGGCAGATGACAGCCTCATCGACAGCATACCACCACTTTTAAACAGGGTAAATTGGAATGAAATGTAATACCTCATGTAATCCAGTTGTGCCTTGAGATACCAGTTTCATTTAGTCACTCAAATTTAATGTAAACAATGAAAAATTTTGTCCCTCGAATAATTCATTGAGAGTTCTGGGATGTGCGACTTGGCCACTGGGGGGCAGTAATATACAGTCATGAAGATACAAATGAAGAAGACTTTCACAAGCACTTTGAGAGACTCAGTAAACTGTAGTAATTTTGCGGGGAGGTCCGCACAGGATAAAGAGAATGTACCTGTGATTATTGTTAGATTGTCTATCTATATGTGTTGATGCACATCTTGTGTTCAAATATCTGTCGCTCATGGTGATAACACAATGACTATGTAGTCCGTCTTTGGCATTTTAAATAAACAACATGCATCTCTTTGTTTTATGTTTAGTTTTAAAATAAACTGGAATTGGAATTAAACAGCTGATTTTTTTTTTAATTACACGTACTATTACACATATCTTACATTTTTGCTTGTAACTCAAAGCGAAAAGTCGCCAGACTGGTGGCTTGTATCTCAAAAATATCATGAGTTTGTTCACTTGTATCTGAAGGCACTACTGTACTGTACCAGAATGACAATCAGTTTACACTTCATGGTTTAAATGTTATTTTTTAGGGGGAAACAAAAATGCAACATTATATGATGATATCATATACAATAACATTATTCTATTTTGCGTAAGTTACTGGACTCAAAACATGGGATCATTGTCAGCCTTCCAGGGGAGGCCCCCAGCTGTCCGGAGGCGACCTCGTCCCCACAGGCAGGGCAGCTTGTGATTGGCTCTCATTACCACCACACTGGTGCAAGAGTCAGGCTTGCGGATGATGTCACACCATTCAGGATAGTCCACAGGCTTGGAGCTGCTGTTGGAAAGTTACATTCGTGCATAGAAATCAGGGAGGGAAAATAGGTTTGGGGTATATGTACTTACTGATCACAGCATCCAACTCCAAAAGGCTCCATGCAGACACACTGGTAACAATCGGCAGTGATCCAACGCTGTCCTATCCCATACACCTGACCCAAGTACTCACAACTCCCTGCAAAATATGTAATGTATTATTTCTAAATGCAACATAAACTAAAGTATGTGGAGTAACAGACTGCGGCTCTTGAATGGTGAGATTAAATATTGAAAAATAAAACTATTTGAAATGTGTATTTACACACACTCTGAGTAATGTGAGGTACATAAATTATAATACAGCGGTGTGGACTCTACACACAGCCTGATGGAGCCCACCATGCAACTCTAGAAAAAGCCCCAAAATATTAGGACCTCAAATCCTCTTATAGCACGAAATAATAAACATTTGCTTGATTGTTGCATCACATGCATCATAAGTTTCCCCATAAGTGTACAACATAATTGTTATTCTTTTTTTCCCAATAATTAGGGTTTAATTATGAATAATTAATGAAGGGTTAGAAGAATGGCAGATGATATATTCCTTTTCATTCAAATAGTCATTCAAAAGTCATTCAAACATTCATATAAATTTGGTTTGGAGAGTGCCCTCACACTTAAAATATTAAACAGAAGCATAAAATAATGCTTTTGTGAACGACAAATGCTTTTGATTTAGGCCAACTCTGGCATTAACTTTACATTGGGTGCAGGTTTCGTACATTTGACAAGTACTGGGAGTTAATATGGCCATTTGATTGTAACACAGTGGGGAAATTCCCATTACAGGTTTACAGTATTGAATAAAAACAGATAACACATCGTGAATAGCAAATAAAAACAATGAATACATAAAAACAAGATTAGAATATTACACATATTTTCTTCATAGTTCAAACTGCATGTAATGTGCACAAAGTACATTATTGTGCTCCACTGGGATTGTTGTGTTGAACATTGTGACAGATTGCAGGAAAGTAACATTTATAAAGCTCGTGCATTTGGATGTGCTTGCAAAGTCCCTTTAAACTGTAAAATCAAGGGAAACCAGGCAACTCTTTGCTATTAAAATCTGTGATATGCCATTAAAAAAATAATAAATTCATCCTGCACTGACCTTTGGTGTTGAAGAAGCACTCCCCGCTGGTATGAAGTGAAAATAAGGGTACGCTGGCACTGAGGAGGACCGCATACGCCAACAAGAACGCGTGTACTGTTGCCATCGCTGCAAACTATTCCAAGAAAGAAAACCACTTAAAGCGTAGTCTCCTTGACAATGCACCACAAGGACGGTGGGCTCACTTATTTATATCGCCAGCATGCACATTTTCCATTTCTGGTTACTATTTGTCCACCCCCACAACCTGCTCATTAATGCTCATCCCATATTAGACAAACATGACGCATACACATACACACACATACACTGATGTTATTACGATGCTGCTTCACAAGAATTACCCCCCTGAGCATACAATGTGCACTCTTTCACATAACATTTGTCTCCGGAGAAGGTTCCTTCGGTGAGAATCACCACAGCGACAACACACAGGCACCTATTTTTCTACACAGGAACTGCACATGAGGCGTGTGAGTGCACAAGATTCCTTGAGCTCTTCCCTTTTGCCGTCAACGTTGTTTGCATGTAGTCTAGTGTTTCCAAATTGTGTTTTTATTTCTTTATTTTTCTGCAAACAGGCAGCACAGGGGAATAATGTAAGGTTCATAACAAGATGTATGACAAAACTATTATTTTGGATATGAACAAAACAGGCGCATATGTGCAAAATATGTGCTCTTAATATATTTTATCTATCAGATACATTTCTCAATGGGTGTAAAAAAAAAAATGTGGGTTTTTTTTTTGTCCAGTGCAAGGTCTCTCTTGTATAAAAATTACCACTCAAGGATGGCATAAAACTGCTGAACAGCAAACCAACATTGAGTGAAAGAACTCATTTGGTGCATTTTTTCACAAAAAAATCATAATAAATAAATAAAAAAAAACTCACTCTATGTTTGTCCTGCATATCATTGCAAATCTACAAAAAATGTTTTGGGCCTACTCACGTGTAGGGCAGCAAAAGATCCAGCGCAGCTAAGCCATGTCTGCAATCTATTGGTGAATGTTCATATTATGACACGAAAGATCCATTTTTCAGTTTCATTTCTGGATATATTGTAAATGTTTTTCCCAATGTATCGATAATTGCTGACCTGTGATTGGCTGGCAACCAGTCCAATGATTACCCCACCTCTTACCTAAAGTCAGTAGTGATAGACTTCTAGCTCAGCTGTGACCCTAAGTGTGACACGCGCTACAGAAAACGCAGGGATCAAACTGCACAAAATTTGGAGATGCCTGCTTTTTATTGGACAATACAAAACTGGTTAAAAGCTGAGAACCGTAAAACTTCAAGCATGTGTGCTCCTCAAATTGCCTGTTAATCATCACGGATGACTCACCAATGTAACTCACTGATGTGCATCTAATTCAATTTGTCTAATTCAATTTCATATCAGATACAGTACGTAATGAACCATCATTTAAATTACATGAGATTGATGTAGATGTTATATGACTGGAGGAACTTTGGCCTTTAAGCGGCACTTAAAATGAATATCTCATTTTGATATGGTATGTTTTTACTAATTGGAAACAAAAAAAAAGAAGAAAATAATAACAATGATAATAATGAGGAGGGAATAATGGCAAATATGTCTTAGTTTATCTTTTAAAATGTGTGAATTTGCAAATGTTTAAGTTGCTGAATACTTATTGGCCCCACTGTATGTATGTGTGTGTGTGTGTGTGTGTGTGTGTGTGTGTGTGTGTGTGTATATATAAAATTTTTATATAAATTTAATGGCCATCAATTAATTATACGTGGATTTTGCCCATGGCACTATTTCTTTCTTCAAATAAACAATTTGACATATTTTATTGGCCAGTTTGTTTATTTTAAAAGTCATTTTCCATGTCACCAAGCATTTTTCACAAACTCTCTTTCACAGACATGAGGTCGGAACATGCTGTCAATGCAAGTCAAAAATGTTGACTGTCATATTTTCTGCTGGTGTAAACACGGTAATCCGATTAATCTTGCGTTTGTGTAACGTGAATCAAACAGAAAAAATTGGGGTCTTGTCATTTTTTGTTTATGTATGTCTATCTTTCATTGTTTATTTTATCATCTTTGAATGCCAGCTTCCAATAAAATGGTAAAAAAGTATTGGGTCTTATAGAACACGGTTATAATTTTTTTGACAATTTTTATACTTCACTGATCTTTGAATTGATTGTGTGCATTTGTCTGTCGTTTTCATTATGTCTCCTGGTACCAAACTACAAATAACGTGAAGCATCTGTTTGAAAATATCTCTCCTGGTCATTGAGTCCAAGAACAACTACTATTGCTTTATGGAAATTAAACTTGGACTGTAATTTCTAACAGGCCCAACAGGCTGGCGGTCAAAGCTGAAACGGTTGCTATTGTAGTTGTTCATTGTTTTGTTAATATTTGCCCATCCCTATGCCACCTAACCTGTCTTTCGAGCTCTGTGAGATTTTTCTGATAACAAAAGAGGCCTGGTTCACATTACTTCTTATCTACTTATCTCGTGACACTAGTTGCATGTCACATTTGCGTATTGTGTGCTGGCGAACAGGGGTTACTTTATCACGCATCACTGGCAAATGACTCCATAAGGATGGATTATTATGCCATTTTAAAAAATGGACTGCTTGATCATCATACGGTGACCAAAAGTCCCTTCTATGTAAAATACATTCATTAAGAAGGTTAAAAATAGCAGCTGGGTTCAATAGGATATGAAGCTTTGTTGATTCATCGACAATCAGTCTTTACTGGCTCTCGAGCTTTATTCAGCATGTGGAGGAAATTGGAAAATATCAGAAAGTAACACTGTGAATAAAAAGAAATTCAGAGGTCGTCAATAGCCAGATCCATTCAGAATCCAGTTGACAATATTAGGAACAAAAGGAGAATAATCATTGCAAGAAATGCAAATAAAGACAACAAAAATTCACTTAAAAGTGATATTTCCCTCTTTAAATCATTTAACACGAGCCTAATTATTTGATTTAAATATGTACACTAGTAGTAAACGTACATAAGCATGGGCAGACCCGTCGCATGCTTTGCATTTGACCCATCCGACAAAATTTGTGAGTCAAGCAAGCGGATGTGCAAGTTCAAGGCGATCAGATAACGGCGCGCTTTAAAACAAGGAAAGAGGAAAGAAAAAAATATTTTTACAGTCTTTTGTTGTGAGCATTACTTCACAGAGTATGTCTGTAGGCACATTTCTGAAGAAAAAAAAGCAAAATTCCATTTTGTACTTTTTATTTGATGTCATCAGACATTTAAGTTGGCTTGTTAACAAAAATAATTCATTTGAAAAAATAAATGTTTCATTAATTCCTCTGATTCGGTATAACTATATGGAATACTATAATACGATATATACTTTTTAAACACCAATGACTTGACACAAAAATTTGGGCTCTGATTTATAATCAACGCTTTTCGTTATGACCTCAACATTATTTTTAGGGACATCACTGGTAGAAAAGAAAATTATTTTTCTCCCCTCTCCAGCAGCAAGACCGTTCCATGATTTCGCTTGATAAACACTTGCATGTTTGCTCTCAGAACAGGATGTAAATCCCCATAAAGAGAATGAAGTCCACAATGAAACACAAACAAGTTCAGTCGTTACGCTGTACATCCGTTTATTTGAAATTGAAGTGACTTCTGACAGAATAAGCAGTTGAGACTGTTCTCACCGTGCGGTGCTATCCCGCAAGTTTTTGTTACTTCTATTAAAAGAACCACCGAGGTGCCTTTGAGCCAGGAGCGTCACTATAAATTTCATGGACAAAGAGGGCTTGGCCCGCAGGAGATGCACAGATGGACAGATTTTAAATCAATACTGTTGAAAATTTTTAAGTTGCCATTAGATTTGAAGTAATATTTCACTGTTTTATCGTGCGCTACACAAAGACAGGAATTATCCATTCATCCATCCATTTTCCGATCCGCTTTATCCCGTCCCGCTTTATCCCGAGCCTGTCCCAGCTGTCTTCGGGCAGTAGGCAGCTGTTGCCAGCCAATTGTTTGTCTAGGTGTGCCCTGCGATTGGCTGGCAAAAAGTTCAGGTTGCATCCCGCCGAATGCTTGGAGCCAGTTTTGTAGTTAGCAGAGAAATATGTGGGCCCCGTTAAGGACATGTACATCCAATGACATAAAATGTTATAAAACGAACTAACCCAATTTTAAGAAACTTATCATCGTACTTCCTCATGTGCGCTCAAGTTTGGCCGCTTATAACTAGACCTTGGATTTTCATTCTGCTACATTTTCACAATTGCAGAGTGATTCTGATGAGGGCACCAAAGGCACAAACCTATTTCAGTTATACAAAAAGATCCAGTTTTCAGCTCTATAAGCGAGGCCCTTCACTGACTGTTTCAATGAGGCGGGCTTCTTATTTGCACGATGCCAGTGCCGGACGCCGTAGGAATATGTCTGATATTTAGTTGACATGGAAAAGCACAAGAACAACCGAATATCAAACATATCACACAGCGTCCAGCTGATCGGAACTTCTGCTGAATGCTCTGGCGACCTAAAAACATGACACACGACATTGAACGTGAATAGAGACACATGAGTCGCTAAATATGGGGCAATGCCACAGATGCACCATGGAGAAAGAGCTGACAAACTTGAGGCTTCACTTTGCTTTAAGAAATGGGTGTGAACATGCAAAAGATGAAATTTCAGAGCTCTGCAAAAAAAAAATAAAAAATCAACACATGCTAAAATGACACTTACCGAGATTTCTCGCAGGAAGTGAAAAAAGTCACACTCGACGAGCATTAATTGTTAAAAATGAGCGTATGTGAGCAATTCCTCAGTGGGACAGTATTTATATACAGCGGTCTGTGAGTTTGGGGGGGCCACTCATGTCAGCGACACGCGCATTCGCACACATTTGGTGCTGCTTGTAATTAAACTTGTATTGATCCAGGCCTGCAGCCTTTCCTCTCCACATTAGCCTAATCGATAGATGTGATGTTCATCCCACTGTGAGCGCTCTCTTGCACACACACGCGCACTCATGACTGCAGCTGCACAATCAAATAACTTTCAGGCTTTGCCTGTAGGCAGGACACACATAGGATGAACTTTGGAAACGTGACTACGATGCTCTTGACTGGCCAATAGGGATAATAATACACAAATGATAGGTAGAAATTTGTGTTTAGTATATGATTTAATTTCACAATCACGTTAAAAATAAACAGAAATAATAAATATAACATGAATCTGAAAAAAACTGTCAGCATTCGCCATTTTTCTTTGGAAAACTTTAACCTTCGTATTTTAATTTGGTTTTCATATATTTCAGCTATAGTGTCAAAAAAGATTTTTTTCAATTTGAAATTATATGTAATTTAAATATTTTTTTAAGGTTAATATTTTATCCAAAAGCCATATTTGACAATTCAATTGGAAATGTAATAAACTAAAACTGCAACTGGCTGGCAACCAGTCCAGGGTGTACACCAACTCTCTCCTCGGTCCTCTGGGATAGTCTCCAGCAAACTAGTGACCATAATGAGCATAAGGGGTATAGAAAATGAATGGATAGAAAAAAACAACACATCAAATAACATTTTTTTAAAAATATATTTACCAGTACATCAAAATCTTCTTTGCAGATACAAGTACATAAATGATCCCAACACCCATGACATGCTTGTCTTTATAAATTCATCATAACGGTCAAGACGCAATTGTTCGCTCACTTTCACACTTCATACAATCATAGAGATAAGACTGAAAGGACACAAATGGATTGAACTATATCTTGAAAATGACTTTTTATGATCAGCATACTGTGTTGACCAAATCATTTTGACGAACTAACCCAGTCAAACCCCCTCGACCACAAGTACCACCGTTTCTGTATCCGCTACTGTATTGACCTTGTGAGCCTATTGGGGCAGAAGGACAGCCCTCTGATTGCCTAATTGTGAGCCCGGGGCTACTTTTTAATACACTCACTCAAACAGATGCGGTAAGTGCACAGAGGGGGCAAAGTCAAACATGGCCAAAAAGGTTAAATAACAAAAAGCATTTTGAGGTTAAAAATAAAAATGTCTGATGCCGTCATGTTTTGTCGGTTTAGCATGTTTCTAAGACTCTTAGGGTCTTTTCATATTCAAACTTTTTTTTCGCGCAAATATTTATACATTTGTTTTGTAAAATAAAGGCGAGGTGAAATTACTCACCAAAATATTTATAAATATGAGGTCATTATGAACCCATGACCAACAAGAAGCAGCCAATTATTCTTCATATAAGTCTAATGTGCTTAAGTGAATGATACATTTGCAGGTGGCTGAATTGCATGACCTGTTAAATTCCGTATTGCTACAACAACACTCTTTACAACGCTTTATTGACACAATGAAAGAAATCATTGTCGAGGCCAAATAAGCTTTGCTCTTTCAATCAAATCTGTATTGAAATAAGAAATTGTTACAGGGCGCGCCTGATGCAGGTAACACTTTCTGATTGGTTGGCTCTCATTATTTTTTGTCTGTTGGGCGTTCTCGACAGTAAAATAAAATTACTATACTGTACATCAAGCTCGAAGCCCGGGGGCCAGATCTGCCCCGCCACATAATTTTATGTGACTCGCGAAAGCAAATCAAACGTGACAACTTCCATGATGCTTGCTAGAATCTGGACCAAAATTTCAAATTCTCATATCTAATAAATCAGAGATACTGTAAGCATTTTCTTGTTACCATACCCCACATTAGAGTTACTTCAACAATAGTTGAATAAACTGTTATTCTTGACATCAACAAAACCAGAAACAGGAAATTTTTAAAATCACAGTAGTTGTACAAATACTGACCCTGCAAAACTGAGCCTTTTTAAAATCTCAGTCCAAGACTAGGCTGTGACTAAAAAGTCAAAATTTTGTCTTTACATGTGAACACGTGTGAGATGATAGTTTTCCAAGGGTCTTTTCTAAATCTTCTCAAAGTCTTTTGATGTGCAGATTCAACCATTTTTGTTTGAATGATGATAATGATGATGCCTCGCGTGGTGGGATGCCTCCGAGTGGCGCGAGGGGGGAACGCCGGGGCTCTTGGGCCCCAGACGTGGCTAAATGCCCACCAGCTGGCAGGGAAGGAGGTGGGGTCTCACCGGAAGGTGAGGCGCCCAGCGCGCGCCCCACCGGAACGGAGGGGAGTGGTAGTAGCCGCCCACATCCCTCCTTAAACAAAAATCAGGCAAGGGCCCTTCCGGGGCCCGCACTGGGTGTGAACCTAGCGAAGCACCAGCGAGAGTCGTACCGGGTGTGGGACCCGGGCGGTGGGGGGGGGGGCAAGTCCCTGACGGGGGCCGATTGCCCAGGAGGAGGAGAATGATGATGATGTGTCAATACAGTACAAACACACAACATGTATCGTTGCATTCAATAAAGGGAGACGTTGAGGGAGCATTTTATTTATTCCACCAAAATAAATAACATGTTGAAACTGAATAGCAATATCCAATCTGACAACTTAAGCACAATATGAATAGAAAATGATGCAAAAGTTGTAATGTTGGACCTTCCGACTGGTTTTTCAGGTTTAGAAGTGTCCGCCTATAACTCCTCAGTCTCAAAGTCCTCAACCCTTTGCTATTCGTTTAGGGGCCTTTGCCTTTGGCTTCTGTGCTTTCGGGTTCTCCGCTTTCGGCTTCTGAGCTAGAGAGTCCTCTGCCTTTGGCTGCTTCGTGCTCGGCACCTCTCCTTTTGCTTCTGGTTGATTGTTACACAATTTACTGCAAGAGAAAGAAAAAGTGACGACTGTAATTTAAAGACCGCTGTAAAATGAATTCCGATATTTGTTTCGAAATAATTTCTACATGTTCAAAGGTAATTGCTGAAAGCTTTTGTAAAGTCTGAGAACTATGTCGTGCTCCATTGCGGCAATGTCATGTTAAAGTGTTATTCACAATGAAGTTTTCATGATTTTTTTTTTTTTTTTTTTTTTTTTTGAGCCGCGGCAAAAATGGTGCCGAGTGACGCATTTGGACTCGGGAATGAGTCCCCCTCCTCCCCCTCATGAATTAAGGCGCCTTCGTTCGCATCAACACAATTACCGAAGTTATAATTACTTGGCTCATTTCTACGACAACAGCATGTAGGCTGAATAACATGTGCTGCCAACTTCCCTGAAGTGTTTTTCTATCATCTGGACCCAGACAAGGAGGTGACGCTACAGATGAGCTCGTTGCCAGTTCGAAGGGCCAAGAGATGCCGTGGTTAGCACGCGAGATAGCTGGTGACGAGCGCCTCCCGCCGTGGGAAGTTCCGTTAGGACCCGGTGAGATGTATTCCAGCCATCGGAGACTTTAAGAAAATATATTTTTGCCAACATGTCGGGATGTGTGTGGGCTTAGATGCTAGAGGGAGTAGAATTTGATTGATCGATTGATTGGCAGTTGAGTGGGGTGTGGTTTCAGTACATTCAGCAGTAACGCCCACCTAATTTTCAAGCCTCATTTTATATACAGTACGTTCCGATTTTCATAAACCACTCAAATTTTGCAGGGTTAAAAGCAACACTTGTCTGTGGTGTCAATTTTACAAGACTTGTTGATTTTCACTTCACAGGAACTTTAAATCTCAGATGCGGAAACGCCATGTCGTTTTTTTGCACATAGTCTCCTCTTTATTCAGGATAAACGAAACACTCGGAGCTACTTGATGAGCACAGACATCGGAATACGACGTCTGTACAAGCAAAACACTCATTAAGTTTGTTGACTGAGTACCAATCCACTCAGAGGCGATTAGGTACCATTGAAACATGAGACAGAATTATTAGCGCTCTCTGCATGCATTGGGGGTGCAAAATACATGCAGAACGTGGAAACAATGCATACCTTGCAGAATGTGCTCCTTTCTTCAAAAAGGCACACACAGCACTCGGCTCCTGTAGTTCCTTTTTCAGTGATTCCAGTTTGGCAATCCATGATTCCTTCTCTTTACTCGTTTTACCTGCAAGTCACACGAGGAACATTGAGCACAACAATAAGTGCTGCTGAACGGGGGGTTGGATAGCGCTTGTGTGACTATAGTGGAACGCCAGGACAGGCGTGCAAACACAAAACACTGAGTTCTCAATGTAAAAGAGGCTATACAGACAAGAGTACTTCACAGGGGCGGAGTTACAGTACCGAGTGACTAGTCTGGCCACCCTACTGGCCACCCCGACGTCTACGGGAAGATTTTCATATACAGGCACTGTATAGTATTTTAGATACCAATGTGACTCTGTGCTGCAGGTAATTCATTTTGGCTTGCTGCCGTTTCCACACGGTTGCCTTACACTGATGCGCTTCAGTGTTCTACCATCATATATTTCATCCAAACTTCCTGCAAAGAGGGCCAGATTTGGTGAAGTGAAATCCTGTGAGTGGGGCTAACCATTCAGCTTTCAGTCGCAATTTCACAGCGTTCATTCCCAGTCATCTCATTGTAGTTTGCGTGTTTCAGCTGTTAGTGCCTCTTGTTGTATTCCTTGAAAACAGCTAGAGTCTTTTGACCAATTAGGCAGACGCAGTTGTTTCGTATTTCTGTGGGAAAAAAAGCCAATTTCCACTTATCCTGGAAGCGACATCAACTTTCCTTTCCTTTGCGACAGTCTCCATTTTACCAATAGGCTGGTGCAAGGGTCATGCAGCGGCGCCTAACACGAATATGTGAGAGAGTGGCGTGTTTCGGAGAGGCCTAGCACATTCGGAGAGTATTTCCGAATGCATCTGAAAGCGCTGCCGTGGGTTTGCCGCCATCCTCTGGTGAATTATATCATAGCTTTTTTTGTACGTGTGTATTTTGTATAATGGTCAACAGTGCTAACGGGCAATAAATAATTGATTTCACGCCAGAGGCTGTGGGCCGGTTGAAATTTGAACACGGGTCACAATTGGCCCCCGGGCCGTATTTTGGAAATGACTGATTTAGACTGACCATCTATTCCTGTTGATACTATTGAGCTACAGGCAGAATATGAAAGAATATTTCACAACAAGGAAAGATTTTATTCTTGTAGTGCGCATTATTCAAGATTATTACTAGCAAGGCAGTTACAGTCACTTGAGTCTTCAAGGCATACAACCGCAAGTCCAATGACACAACTACAAAATTGATCACCAAACTGCGGTCTAGGGTATCGTGCATGTATGGGACACCCTTGTGCTTGAACATGATGTTGGTTATGGACAATCCATCATGACAAGATTTACCGTGCAGATTCCGCAGTTGTCCTTCTAAACCGGCCACCCCGTTTTTCACTGATTTCTGCAGCAAAGGAAAAAGAAAGTCAGCAACATAATTCAACACCATGCACAGTCCACAGTCAAATTTCACACACGATTCATCACCGGGATGATCAAGAACAAAAGGCATACCAACAACATGTCCAAATCTTTCACTCCATGATCACTGCTAAGAATTGTACAGTTAAATATTGTATATTACACATTTTCCCAAAGTTGTGCAATATGTGTACGTGTAATATGTAATGTCTCTTTGCCATGTCGCCGTATAACAAAATCCTAAAATTAGCACAGTTTTCCATCGGCACTGTTAGAGAGGTGGGACATCTAACGACATTTGCGTTTCAATCAATTGTGTGGGGGAGGGGAAAAATCTTGATTTAAAAAAAAAAAATCATAAAGTGAAACTCATATGCCACAAAATAATGATCTTGTCACAATTACCTTACAAATGTACTCAATGTGAAATTTGGGCAAGTTTAGTTAAACACTACGCTATTATTCTGTCGTATGTATTGTATGTACAGTCTAGGTGTAGCTGGTGAATATTTTTTAGTCAAGCCGATTGTTGCATCGATTAATTGAGCAAGTGAATAAAAATGTGATTTTTGTTAAACACAAAATGATGTGCATTTGAGGTGCAGATATTTCTGCCCACTCAGGGTCACCATTCACGCATTTTGCTGTAGTCCACCAGCCTTTGAATAGAATACAATACAATACAATACATTATTTACATAGTGCATTTCACAACAGCTGCAGCTGTAACAAAACACTTTACATAGAACAGATGACTGGCTTTACAAGGTGAGGCCGGGCCTGGTGAGTGACGTGGGCGTCAGAGAATGAGAGTGGAGAGTAGCCTTGCCAACACATAGTCAATGTGTTGAATGACTCAATGTGAACTGTGGCTATTGGGAGCGTGTGTATGAATGTGCGTGTGTCTCATTATTCTTTTCTTATCATTTGTTTAGTAAAGCGATGGAATGTGAAATAGTGGCTATGTCTATCCTTCACGACTTTTGGGTTTATCACAATTGTGATATACAGTATATGTATATGACTGGCAGCTGGTGAATAAACAGGTACCTTTTGTGCATAATGTATTTTTGTTCATCTGTCCATGCTATCAATGTATAGTGACAAGCAGAACTAGATGGCAGAAAATACAGTTCCAGTGGATATAAAATGGTCCTTGTTCAAATGCCCCCCCCCCGCCCCCATCTAGGCACAGGACTGCAGAGACCTGACATATAAAGAAGATGTGAGTACAAGAGCCCTGCGATTGGCTGGCAACCAGTTCAGGGTGTCCCCCGCCTACTGCCCGAAGATGGCTGGGATAGGCTCCTTGGTAGCCTTCCTGATCAATGTTTCATCCATTTTAGAGATGCTCAGTTCTTGGTAATGTCACTGTCGTGCCATATTTTCTCCAAGTGATGACTCTCATTTTTTTGTGCTTTTCATATACCACCCCCCCCCCAAAAATTAACATTTTATGTCAATTATACACTGTGTTGTGTATGCACTTCTCAATGCAAAAAAAAAAAGAGTTCACCGAGACAAGATTATCGTTATTTCAGTATACAGTAATTTGGTTGACACTTTCGTTTAATGATGTGTTATGAGATTTTTGTGTCTTTGCTCAATAAAGGTTGGAGAACACTTTCCTTCTCCTGGGGGCAATGAGACTGGTTTGAAGTGTTTACCAGCGACAATTATCATGTAGGCTATAATTATAATAATACGAGAGTACATAATTGTTCCTTACCACAGCTCCTTGGCACGCTTCCACTTCTTTCTTCTTTTTCAGGACTTTCTGCTCACACGACTCCGCATCGGTCCGTAACATTTTCTCCTCTTTTTGGGCGCTTTCGATGTGGTTCTCCAAGGAGATCTTTTCCGTTTGGTACTCTCCCACCACGTCGTTAGTCACCCGCAGTTTCATACTCTCGAACTTGTTCCGTTTGTCCACTTTGTCGTGCTCTTGTTTGCGGCTTTTAATGACTACCACCAGGGCCACAGTCAACGCAATGGTCAGAGGCAGCAGCAGTTGAAACTTCATCCTTGATATTCACCCGGGGACGTCTTGTCAGGTAGCCCCAAAAAAGGTTTTTAATTAAACGTCATGGTACCGCTTAGTTAGCTTCCACGCGCGGGTTTTTATCGTTCTGTTAAAATTAATAAAAAATGTATTATTTTAACCTAAAATAAAACGCGACGGTGAAGGACCTGGAAACGACGTTCTACAGCGAGTTGTTCCAGTCAGCCGTAAACACGCCCAGGTCTGCCGTAAAACACGCCCATTACCTGAAAACTGCATATTTATTTATTTATTTATTGTCTAAAATGTACAAGATGAAACATTTTTCAAAACCATAATATAGAAATAGATTTTTCTTGTTAAATGTCATTAATGTGGTAATACTTCAAGGATCGATGGGTTAACTGGTGGCTTGCGGGCGCACTCTGAGTGACACCTTGATAAAATTTATTTTTTATGTTTTTGCAAACACAAACAAATACAGTATTCTAAAATGTTGCGAAACGTAAAATATACATTTTCCACACACAAAAAACCCAGGGGGAGTGAGGGAAGAAATCCGGGAAAAAAATGGGAAAAAAAGATCTGAGAATATGTGAATCTGGGGGGTCGAACTGTCAATAAGTACGAGTCGACTGTAGAGTTATAATATTACAGAAACACCACAAGATGCCAAATATCTGAGTTGCACTTGCACTGGGTCTTCTCTACTGCTCTATAAACAAAACGAGGAGGCTTAATAATTGTTTTTGTAAATTTTGAATGACATGCGTATTACCTGAATAGTATGAACATCCCTGCGATTGGCTGGGAACCACTTCAGGGTGTAAACCGCCTACTGCCCGAAGACAGCTGGGTAGGCTTCATCACGCCCCGCAACCCTTGTGGGGAAAGGGGATCAGAAAATTGATGGATGGATAGATATGAACATTTTCGTTGATTTATTTTTGGAAAAAAACTATGTATGTATGTATGTATGTATGTATGCCACATGTTCTTCGTAAGCTTGCATGGGTTTTCGGTGGGTACTGGAGCACATTGGGATATATATATATATATATATATATGCCCGTACCGTAACCTGAGTGTTACCTATCAAGATGTGTGTGTCGGTGCGTCACGTCAAGTAACGAGGAAATAGGTGCTTTGACACGCCCAAATGAACAAGTGGTTCAGCGAGTCCGGTTGACAGCAGCGAGCTGCGTGATTTAATCCCAATTATGAAGTTAGTGGTTGTTTTAACGTTCTCCAGCATGGCTGTAATGGCCGTGATGATCCTCCAGACTGTACGCCAGGAGTTGCAACTGCGCCACTTAAGAACCCGCACGGTGGAACACCTTGCAGATTCCAAGAGGGGAGAGAGAGTCATCACCCTAATAAAAAGTCAAATCAAGGAGCTGGAGACGAACCTGGCGTCCGTCATGGGCAGGGTGGACGAGCTGAAGAAGCGCAAAGCAGCTGCTGAAAAAGCGGAGCAGGAGCATCAAAAACGTTTGCAGGCATGCGTCGAAGAGAAGGCAAGGGCAACACGCACATTAGCATGAGCACATTATTTTCTACTGTATTTATTTTGAATGCAACCTACAGCAGGTACCACGAAAGACTTTATAACGCCATTTCATTAGGTACTCTTGCACAATCTTATGCAAGAACAAATAAAAGTCAGCCTTTGGAAAAATGCTAATACTGTATTTACTTTTTTATTGACACCAGAGGTACGGATTAATTTAATATCAGTATTATTGTGGTAATCGTGTTTATGTAACTTTACATGATTGTGTGGATGTGTATTTTTTTAATGAAGCTTCAAGAAAGTAGGAACATCTTGATTTGTTCTTAAAGTTCATAATTATCGTATTCTATTTATTATGAATGTGTTACATTCTTGAAAACAATTCCTAGGTGTGTAAAAACATGTCAGTGGCATGCTTTTATCAAAATAACTCAAGGATCAAGAATAACAGCTTGCAGTCCCAGACCAGTTTGATCATTTGTTGTCAAACCTTTTACACCAAGTCCCACCTTAAAGAATATTGGCATCAACTCCAACTTTAAAATACTGCTAAAAAAATAATAAATACATAAAAAGATGTTCTATCACATCAGCATAATTTTCTAATGTAATTGTAGGTGAAGTAATCGCTAATTATATTTCGCTAATTAGGTAGGACTTGCCTCCCAGACAGGAGACTGCCATGTGTCACCATCATCTTTCTGCTACGGATACCCAAAAGTCACAAACTTATTATAAAATAGTTCCTCAACATGATGACTGTAGCATATGTAACAAATGCGATGCACTGACATGAGGGACTATGAGAAGTCCATCCATCCATCCATTTTCTTATTGGCTTTATCCTCACAAGGGTCGCGGGGCGTGCTGGAGCCTATCCCAGCTGTCTTCGTGCAGTAGGCGGGGGACACCCTGAACCGGTTGCCAGCCAATCACAGGGCACACAGAGACGAACAACCATCTGCGCTCGCACTCACATCTTGGGACAATTTGGAGTGTTCAATCAGCATGCATGTTTTAGGAATGTGGGAGAACAATGCGGGCACAGGGAGAACATGCAAACTCCACATAAGAAGGCCGGAGCTGGAATCGAACCCGGTACCTCTGCACTGTGAGGTTGACGCACTAACCACTAGCCCACCGGGCCGCCCCAGTACTAGAAGTCATTGGGACATTAATATTTTGCTTCCCCCTCTGCTGAAGAAATTGGACGTAGGTTTGTGAAGTGTGGTCTCTCTGAGGCACCGTAGTGCGCATGGTTCAAAATGCACGCTTTTTGAGCTGAGGTCATTGTATTCAATTAGTTCACCACGAGATGGCACTAAAATTTTACACACTGTACCTTTACATCATTGCGACATGGAACACCCGTAGTAACAAAGGTAGCCCCTTTTGTGCTATGTATAATATGCATTAGTTCATTTGGACGGGTAATGTATTTGAATACTGTGAACCCACTTTGATTTCAAAACAGATCCGAGGACCACAGGAAATTAATATGCAGGCTGGAATATTTGCCTGATCAGCGTATATAACAGGCCCGCCCTGCAGGAATTCACGAGAATATCCATATTCCCACTCTGGGCCTGCCTATTCAACAGGATATAATAACTGCTCCCTGCATCTCGATTTTAACAGTCTATTTTTTTAAAATAACAATTTATTTATTTATTTATTTATTTTTAAGGGAAGTGCAGAGAGCAAGAAGAAAGCTGTCATCGAATCCGCTAATAAAGTCAAAGGTACGTATTGTGTTTCCAAATGTTTTTATGGAATTGCAACACAGATCGGCCAGATATCAATACAGTTCATCGACCCTGGTTGAATACACTATAAACTAAATGTAACTGCTGCCATTTGCTTTATTTTTTTTCCGACAGTTTGTGTGTGGTTTAAGACTAATATCATGCTGCATCAAATTCTTTCTTATTGTCGTGGTTTTTTTTTTTGTTTTTTTGTCTTTTGTCACACTGTTCAGCTGATCACGCAGAGGATAGAAGAAAAGCTGAGGAGGAAATGCAGAATGTAAAACAGCATATTTTGGATCGAGACAAAGCTGTTTGCATTTTTGCTGATCCAAGCTTTGCAGAAGTTCGGTAAGATCTGAAAAACATTTAGTCTGAACAGAGACAATATCTTGTCAGCCACAATATGTTAAAGTTGTTTTCTGCCAAATGCACTAATAGTTTTTGCTTTATGTTGTTCTTGTTTTGTAGGAGGTTGTGTGGTATTGATGCTGCGCAGTAAGGACACTTCAGAAACAGTCAATGCTCACAGTGAATTTGCGTAGGAGCCATGCAGGGCTGCATTTTGTACAGTTGTGTGGTTACACTAAATCCTCTTTGGTGTTAAAATTAAATTGAGAAATTTTTGATACAGCCAAAGAGCCAACGTTTTGCTCTGTGGTTGTGTGTGATTGTTAGATTCTTTCAGCTTTTTTGTGTGTGTAACAGCAAAATAAACATACCTAAAAAATGTTTTTTTTACTTTGAGAATAGCTATCCTGGAATAACTAGACTGCAATTTGTACTTTAATTCACAAATTAGCGATTATGCCCGCTCCCTCCCCATTATGTTCGATAAAATTAGTTTTCCATTTCGTCTCATGTCTGTCATTCCACACAGATAAATGTTCACTTGCCTTTCGGTACAACACTACAAACTACAACCACAATCATATATTTTTTTCTTGTTTAGTATTCGTTCTGTTTTTTTTCTTTGTTATTTTAAACAATCAAAACGTTACTCACAAAACACATAAGGCACATTTGTTTACCTGGCGTACACATTACGTCACAAGAACTCTTTCATCCAAACACGAGGTGGGGATGAACACGTGAGCTGACGTAAGCCTTACGTCGGCGGAAGTTGACAAGGGTGAACCAGTTTTATTGAAAGTCATCTATTTTACATCAGGTTGTTCCGATGTTTTGCCACAGCCGGACACAAACGCATTATTAAAATATGCTTACGGTAAATGACTTATCGGCCGTTGAACGTTTTTGGTTAGCTCCGTTTTAACGCCGAAATTCCCTCAATTTAGACATTTATGACCAAGACTCTGTACGACTGATGCAGCCCCTCGTCATGTCGAAGATGGCGAGAAGCCTCTTACGACTGTTGACGGGCTGCCAGCGCCTTGCTTCATCTCCATCCGTGTGTCTTCATTTCTGCCGTTCGTCTACCGGTTTGCCATTCGGAAGCAGCTTTGTGCGGAGTATGGTGGTATGTATGTACCCTATTGTACAATAGACAAGGTGAACGAGGTTTTCTCAGTTTGACCTGTAATATTGGTAGAAATAACGGTGTATGAATACGAGTAAGGAATAAATACGCAATGAATTAATCTGTATTGCAATAAACAATACCAGGTTTATGTATACGTTAATGGTTTCGTCTTACTGGTGCTTAGGCTTACGCATAAATAAAGTCAAATGAACCTTGAATTCATACGAAATACAGTTTGGATCTCTACTTCGAGTTAAATTGCTCAAGACTTTGACTTGCAGTCTTTTGAGAGTTCACTATGACGACTTAACAAAACTCTGCCAAACGAATTAAAAAAAAATCAAAAGTTTGAATTTACTGACACTGGAGATATTGTATCCTAATTTTGTATGCAGGCACTGCCATTTTCCTTTTCCCTGAAGCCTCGGGACTTCAGCCTACCCAACTCCTCGTGGAGTGCAGAAATGATGCGCTTGTATGACTTCTACAACAGCCAATGTGAGCCGGAAAATGAATCTGGAGAGAAACAAAGGGGACCTTGGAGGAGAGTGCCCAGCTACAATCGGACCCTCAAGTATGCCGCAGGTGAAAGCATTTGAATTGTCTAAACACACCTATTCGCTCTCATAAATGGTAAACTTCGACAACATTTGCATGATGCTGCTGACTCACCATACCTCTTTCTCTTCTCAGGAGGAGCCTATCTCAGCAAATTAATCCAGTCCAAAAATCGTCTTTTCACCCGAAGCATCAAAACCACAGGAGCTGCATTTGAGTATGTCATGTTTATTAACAAAGAAGAGCAGAGATGTGTTTGCATTTTCCAGGCTGGACACCTGCTGGAGGGCCCTCCAGGGTGAGTCATCTGGCCATTTAACACTGCCCGTAAAAAAATAAAAATAAAATAAAACACAAAACAGGCAAAATATCCCAAACACATGTTGGAAGAGGTGTTAAGGTCTGATAAACTTTTTGTCGAGGATTCCAAAAAGTGTGTTGGGCGATAACACAAAATTGCTCATTATCAAAAGAACACCATACCTACAGGAAGCATGGTGGTGGGTGCATCATGCTTTGGGACCTTAGGCAAGGTGGAGGGAATTCTTAATTTTATTCTTTTGAAATTACAACGTTGTTTTTACTCATATGCTACAATGACTAAATTCTCATAAAATCACTTGTTTTCTCTTGAATTATATATCCTCCTGAAAACTACACTAGGCTTGCAAAAAAATGTTTTTCATATTACAAGTTTATTTTGATGAAATTTTGTCTTTATGCTAGGGAAATTACTTTTTTTTTGTGGGGGGGGGGTTGCATTGTTCTGTCTTCTCTTTTGTGTGGCCTTGCTAATACTTCCTCACTTATTAAGAATTTTGGGGGGGAAAGTGTGTCATTGAAAAGCTGTTGCATGTATTTCCAGGCATGTCCACGGGGGGGCAATCGCCACTATGATTGACTCTGTCACAGGCGCTCATGCAACTTTCCTGTCTGGACCAGTCATGACAGCCAATCTCAACATCAATTACCGCAGGTAACAATGTATTTGTTGCAGAATATTTTTTTTTGTGTAGTCAATTGGAATTATTGCCATGCTATGGCAAGTTTTGTTTCAATTGGTGCAGAATCCTCAGCATTATAAACTGACGATATATGTTGATTTGTTCAAAGCCCCATCCCGTTGGGAAGTACAGTGATACTCGAATCCTCCCTTGACAACAAGGAAGGTAGAAAAACATTCATTTCCTGTAAAGTGACCAGCACTGATGGTTCCAAGCTGCACACTGAGGCAACAGGTAACATCATTTACAGCATGTTACATTATTTGACAGAAATTTTATTTCCTGACTGTTGTTTTTTTTTTTTGTTTGTTTGTTTGTTTGTTTTTTAGCACTCTTCCTGTCTATCAAAGTCGGCCATTTATTGGGAATGTGACACAAAAACCACTGCATTTTAATAAGTGAAAGACTTATTGGTGTGCCTTTGAGTACAGTATAATGTATCTTATTTTAAATATTTATTGCCGGCTCGGTTGCCCAGTGGTTAGCACGTCGACCTCACAGTGCAGAGGTTGTGGGTTTGATCCCGGCTCCGGCCTTCCTGTGTGGAGTTTGCATGTTCTCTCCAGGCCTGCGTGGGTTTTCTGCGGGTACTGCGGTTTCCTCCCACATTCCAAAAACATGCATGGCAGGTTGATTGAACACTCTAAAATGTCCCGAGGTGTGAATGTGAGCGCGGATGGTTGTTTGTCTCTGTGTGCCCTGCGATTGGCTGGCAACCGGTTCAGGGTGTCCCCCGCCGACTGCCCGAAGACAGCTGGGATAGGGTCCAGCACCCCCTTCGACCCTTGTGAGGATAAAGTGGATCGAAAAATGGATGGATGGATGGATAAATATTTATTTTACTTGCCAAATTATTTTAGGAGCTTCTGTATAAGGGTAACACAGCATAGGAGTGATTGGCACATTCGACCATACAGTTCTGAGACTGAGGTTGGAAGGTCGAATCTGGGTGTGGGCATGTAACATTCATTGACTAAAGACTACATTGTCCATAGGTGTGAATGTGAGTGAATGCCTTTTGTGCTATGGACTTGCAACTCTCACCCAAAGTGACTGGGATAGGCTACAACTCGGTCCTAACCTTAGTGAGGACTAGCGCTTAAGAAAATAGATTGTGTGTGTTGAGTGACTGCTCATGTGACTTAATGAGGAATTGCTGTACAATATGTTATTACTTGACTACCTCATGTTTTACTAACACCAACACATATCTAAGCATTATTTCTCACAATTATTTTACTAACTTTGCAGCTACTGAGTGCAGTGAATGCTTGAAACTGTACCTTACTGTATGGTTGTTTGTTTCACAATAAAGCCTTGCCTTTGGCTAATTAATGGAAGACACTACATTTTGTTTGCAAATGTGTGAATTATTGAAAAAAATTGGGGAACATGTTCAAGTAATTTTGGATTCACTGAACAAAGATCATTTGGGGAAAGACACAGTTGCCGTAATTGTTGATATTGTGTATTCTTGATACGACAAGGACAAAAGCAGAGATTAAAAAAAATGCTATATTTAAGAAGCACTCTCCATCATGTTTTTTCAGACCCCATTCATATTGCACAATTCGCCGAGATGTTGTGCAGTATTTATCAGTTACAACGCTGACACGGCACACACACACACGCTTATTTAAGCGCACGCAGTTGTGTGGTTTGTCAGTCTTCAGGGCCCCTCACTTCTCAAACCTCAGTTAAACACAGTTGGAAAAGCAACCTTGCAATCTACAAACATATTAGTGGTTGGTTGTGTGTGCGTGCGCATGTGTGTGTGAAGACTCATGTGGTCAAGTTTGTGGAAGTTTTTCGGTTAAAAACGCTTTATCACAGTCATCCAGAACAGAAATATTATTGGTCACCTGTTTTGGTTCTATTTAGTGGTTTTGAAGTTTTCTTTTAATGTGTTGTAATAAAAATTGGACTTGTATAAAGAACAAAGGTCCGTTTTTATTGCCACAATCGTATTAATTAAAATTAGACAAAGTATTATTGTGCTTCTAGTTTTTAATGGTGTGTAACTGCACTGCATCATATATTTTGCAATACTTTGGTTGAGAGCTAAAACCATTCTAGATGAGGTGGCCCATGGGCCATATACCTGCTCATTAATCCAGCCCATCAAATTACATTTACATTCTCGAGTCTTTTACTATTTGTTGTATTAAATTAGGGGATTTATTAAAGTTAGTCAATTGAAATGTATTTGTTCAGTTTGTGTAGATTTTTTTATTTACCATATTTAAATTTCAGAACTGGTGTCACACAAGATATATGTACAAATCAAACTACACGTTTTACCCTTAATTCTGGCTACTTCACCATGACAACGCACCTGCTCTCAATGCTTTGAGCATCTGACATTACCTGGAATAACATCTACATGTTGAAGCAACCTTCCTACTCATCCAACATGATTCATGAGATTTTTTTTTTCCTTCCCAATCTCAAGGAAAAGTGTGTTAGACTCTCGGGTGATTACTTCTAAGGGAAAACTTTGGATTTGACATTTATCTTTAAATTTAATTCACGCTGTGACCACGCTTCTTATCTCTCAAATCAGCTTTAAAATGAATGGAAGTGGAGTTTATTTGTTCCAGCGACCTAACAAAAAATGTTTTTAAATAATAAAAACAGAACTCCATACTATTGTACTTTATAAGGACATACATTAAGGACGTGATTAAATGTAAATATTTTTGCCACCTTGAAAAAAAAATTACGTGTCTAAATGTGTGCTCCCTTTGTATACAGTACTGAAATATCTGTTGTTTAAGAAATGTAACACCACAACTGTGATCCTATTAGTTAGCCGATCAATGACGTTTTGCATTGTGTGTTAGCATTAAGCTAGCAGACATTATTAAGCAAGTGTGTTGGTTAAATACCATATTTAATTCTCATTTTGTTTACTTAACACAATTCATCTGAGCCGCAATAAACAGCATTGAAGAGTTGAGTTCACTGCCACCAGCGCTCGTAACCCAAAATTTTATGCATGTCAAGGAAAAAAAAAAATCAGATGACAGTTTATATCTCGAGAAAAACGCATAAATCTGGTCTCTTGTCCCTCAAAGCACCCTATGACATGTTTCTTGCAGTTAACTGTAGTATATAATTGACTGCACTTGTTGTTGTGTATTTGCAAACTTTTGGTTACCTTATGAAGGGGTCAAAAAAATTGGAATAGCTCCAGCAACGCTTTGCACTTTTACACCACTGCAAAGTACAACCACAGTAATAAACATATTCACAAATATACAGTTTGGTCTGTATTAACACGTTAAATAAAATGTGATATGTAACGTCCACTTTGGATTATTGAGTGTGCCAAACAACATGGGATTATATTTCCTAACCGGCCCGTTCCCAAACAGAACATGAGCCGCTGCCATTACGTAATAGTCATTGACGTAACTCGAGTCTTGCGGGCTCGGGACAGCGAGGGCGCGCTCGCTTGGAAGCACCCGAGAGAGGGAGGGATCCAGGGGAGTGACTTGTCCACGGGCCGGCGGTCCGACCAACCGCACTACCACCGCCTTCCACGTCGTGTCCTGCCCTGTTTGTTGGAATTACACGATTGCTTTCAATTCTAAAGCGGCCCGGGGCAAGTGGGGACTGGTCTAAACTATGGCCGTCGCGCGCCGGAACTTGCTGTGACGACAGGAAGTGGTCTGCAAATGGCAGCGCGTTTTTTTAAAACGTCTGCGTCGGCTTGGCCGCTAGAACAACAGGTAACAAGCCGATTTGGGCCAACTTGGAAATGTTTACTTCAACAATGGAGAGCCAATTTGACTGTTTGTTTGTGCGCATGCGCAGGCCTGACAGGTGTTTGCAGGGAAAGTGATGGATTATGAACAATGTGACGCGCCCCCTGCTGACAACTCCATCAAAAGAGGTACATTTGCTTTAACGATGATCCAAATGTATTTTTTTTACACAAAGTATCCAGCACTGTATTTCCGGTTGCGTACCATGCATTTGATGCATGGGCCTTCAATGGGGATTTACCTAATTTAATTAATTTACCTCTAATTACCACCACTAGTAAATCACAAGGACAGAGACCAGCAAGACTATACAAGCATAGCTACTGGTTAGTTTTAAATAGTCCATCCATCCATTTTCTGCAGCGCTTGTCCTCTTCAGGGTCACGGGTGAGGTGGAGCCTATCCCAGCTGTGGTATGCCCCAGCAAATTAAGTCAAGTCAGATTTGTTTATGTCGTGACAATTCACAACAGAAGTTACCTCAAGTCACTTTACATTAGGGCTGAACCATTAATCCAATTGAAATCAACATCGCAATGTACAATGCAATTTTTTAATTTGCAATGGCTGCAATTTGGAAAACAAAAATTCAGTTTTATATTGGTCTTTTGGTAGGCTTTATATATATATATTGCACTTACTTTCACAAAAATCTATGCTTTAAAATTAAAACATTTATGTACAATAAAGTTATCGTTTTTTGTAATACACATCAATTTATTGCTTGTGTTTGTTATACAATACTGTACATGTTCAGCAGACCTTTAAAAAATAATGGCATATTAAGTCACAATAGCAATATTAAGGGGGGGGGGGACAATCGCTGATTATATTTCAAAGTCGCTGAGCCGTACACATTGTGAAAAACTCATGAATACAGATTGACTCAATAAAAAAAAAAAGTTGAGTGTCATGTTTTACTATATTGTATATTTTGAAATTTCATGGGTTAAATGCTTTTGGGCTTGTTCTATCAGTTCCTTCTATTTTGTGTTTGAGAACTGCATGGTGGGCTTCATTGATTGCTCAGGTTGGACCTCAGACATTAGTTTCCCGCAACAGTACATCTGGTTCATCGCATCTTCATTCTCATCCACTTGGAGCCCTCTCCATCCCACTAACACACCTCGTCCCACTCGCTTTGTGTGAGTGGGTTAAAAATGGCAGTAATCTGGAGTAATCCATGGGGATTAGCCCTCATTTTGCTTTGGTTTTTTTGCTCAATGGCTTTCTATTCCCAGCCTTGCTAAAATAAATCTGTGTTCCGTTGAGAAGAGACTACTTGTTTCTCTGCCATGGAAACAAGAGTTGCCCTGTTGGTGTGCAAAGGTGGCTCGGACAGTTTAATAAATAAAATTCTATCAAAAAAGTGGGGGCGGTGTTAATAGGTAATGGGAATATTAGATCCATTTATATTGCAGTGGAACCTCTGAGGTCAAACAACTCATTTCATTTAGTTTAAATATTTTATCCATAAAAATGAAGCAATATTTTTCAGCGTCCAATTTTTACCATTGCAGGCAGTTTTTGGAGTTGAGTGGGGGGGGGGGGGTCAAAAGAGACAAATTCATTTCTTTGATGCTTTCTGAACTTCGTTCTCGTGATCTGAGGACTCAAGTGAAATCGTTTAAGTGCTTCAAAACTTTACAGGTTCCATTGAATTATATAGTAGGGAAGTTTTTTTTGTTAGATTATGGGTCTCTTCAAAGTATGTGTGGTGAGTGTGGTTCTTCACCTAGTTCATATGAGAAGTACAATGACGTTGTGATTAAATGAGAGGCGGGGAAGCCATGTGGTTATTCTCATAGTCATAGAAGAAAGGACTTGTGAATTAGATCAAGAAACATTTTTTTTGACAGTTTGGGGATGCAGTGCCTAATCTTAGTAGTGCAAATGATGTTGATTTATTCTAGTGAAAGCAGAGTTTCAATGTGGTTGTTCAGTATTTCATAATGCTGCGAAGGCTCTTCTTAGGTGAGATCTGATGGTTTTGGTGGCTGATGTGGGTGCTATTTCATTTGCCTGCAGTGCCTCCTTATGCTGTTGTTATCAATTATGAGATGCGATGGAAGAGTGGTTAAGGTGTAGGACCTGTCTTCCGGTGGACTCTTCCCGGTGCAGGTTTAAAACCTGATTGCAGTGGTCTGGTGTTATTAGAGTCACATGTTCTGTTTCGTCTCAGTGAAGACTAGACAGAGTGTTCAAATCTCACTGTTGACCAGTGGCTTCACATAGATAAATAAAATTAATTATCAATAACAAAATATTATTAAAGGTAATGTGAGCAAATTTGGTACTTCCAGAAGGGTGTGTCAAACTGGTTTCCAGTAAGTAGATCTTACTTTCTCAAAGGTTGACACCCCTGACGCAAAATGTTCTATTCATAGGAAACATACTGCAATTAAAAAAAAAAAATATGCCTCAAACATTTCAAACTGAGATTCATCTCAGTGTTACGTGTGTTTTTTACTGTTTTGCATTTTGTTAACATTTTTTTTGATGCCAGCGCTGATGTGTGTGTGTGTGTGTGTGTGTGTGTGTGTGTGTGTGTGTGTGTGTGTGTGTGTGTGTGTGTGGGCAAAGAAGATTGTAACATCATTAATAAAAGAACCGAGTGTACACAACAAAGGCAAGTGTGGTGTCTTAAAGCGAAAAGCCTCAACTCTCAAGCACAGGTAGGAATCACTAAATAAGTTACTAAAAAAGACCTCTTCTAATACTGAAGTTGCTATTGTTCATAAAATGTACATATTACTTATCCAAATATGAGACAAAACTAAAAATGAACAGTTAGCACTTGGAGCGCAATGAAAAAAACTGAAGAAAAGACGTGTATGTGATGCTTCTGGGATTGGAAAATAAAAACAAAAAGATGCACTGTTGTTCAAGGAAAAAAGTTGCTGTTGTAGTCCAAACATTCCGGTATTTGTGTATGTCTTTAAAGTTAATGATGAATACACAATTTGTCATTTTAAAATTTTAACATGCAGCGGTTAGCTTTTTTACACTCAACAGCTGGCAATAGTAATAATGCATTATTGAAGGGTGATTAGATTACATTTCTTTTAGTTTAATGAAATCATTATACACAACAGTATTATTGTTATTTAAAACATTAAATAAGATAAGATAAGAAAACCTTTATTGTCTCACAATGGAGAAATTTGCAAAGTACAGCAGCAAATTTGGAGGGAAGAAGTAGAAAAAGAAACAATTTGCATGCACAAAATAATAAAGAACTGTACACAGTACAGAATGCAATATAAAAATATAAGATATAAGCATTATTATTATAATTATTATGATTATTAAAGTACGTGATTTTAGCAAATTTGTGTGTATAAAACTGGTAGCCCTTCACACTAATCAGCAGACAAAAAAAATGTTTTAAAACAATTCAATACCTTTGGAACATGTTGTTTCACGTTTTTCCGAGCTGCCACTGAACGCATCATGAGCAGTCGCCAATCGACCCACTCACACACAGCAGCTAAGACGTTTTCCTGAACGATGTGGAACACAGGATGCAGCATCGAACATAATAGAAAAGGCAAAACATTCACACATTTTACAAACATACCGTTTGAGTTAGATCAAACAGTTCATGTGAATATATCCCGTAAGAGTTCATATGTGTGGGATGACTCGGGCAGTATCGTCTTGACTGTTGTGGCACACAGTTCTAAGTGGAAGAAAAAAGACGTATAGTTTTGAGGTTTGCCCTGTTGGTTAAAGAGTACCGGATTGTAAAATGCCGTTTTCCGTTTGAATGCATTGGGGTTGTTATGGGTCAGTTCCCGAAGAACTCATTTGTGGCAAATTCAATCAAAACTCTTGGTCTACTCACCGGGTTCAGAGGTCTTTAGTAGTTTGCTGTGTTGTTAATTAACACCGCAAGTGTCACGTTCGACGAAGGGAAATAGACTGGTCAGCGACCTGTTACTCTGGACGTAACCTTTGACTTATTGTTTATTGGTAGATTTCGTAAATAATGCCCAAAACGTACTCGATTGCTCAGTCGCTGCGAGCAGGGTTCGAACCTGCGCGGGAAGATCCCATTGGATTTCAAGTCCAACGCCTTAACCACTCGGCCATCGCAGCAGATAGCAATACTCGTTCGTGAGCGAGGGAACATGAGCGCGTACGGTCCAACAGCGTTCTATGTGTCCCGATTAGTCTAAAAACGGTATTCTGATTAATATTGCTTCTGTGGAATAAGGATGAAGCAGATTAATTGCTCACAGGCACTGCGATCCTGTCTTGTATCGCTTCTGTACCGTCTTGTGCTGTCTGTTGTCGACTGAAACTGACGTCAAAGAGCTCATTGCGAAGGTCAAGGCTTGCCTGTTTGGCACAATTTCTATATTTTGGATAATGAAGACCTTTCACTTGCTATCTCACATTTGCTGCAGATACGTTTACAAACACCAGTAGGCAGATTTGACTGTTGAATTCAAGTTTAAGCCTCAAGTGGGGCGCACATAAGTACACTTACATAATATGCATGTTGTGTGTATTCTTTCGTGGTGAAAATCGCCATTAACACAACTTGAAGAATTTACAGTGTTGAAATGTTGAGTAAGCTAACTGTGTGTTTGTCTTTCACAGGAGCAGTGTCCAAGAAGACTCATTTGAGTAAGTGCAACTGTGTGTGCGTGCGTGTGCGTGCGTGCGTGTGTGTGTGGTAAAGACATTGTGTGCTTGTGCTAGATATTTTTGCATGCAATGTGGTTTACGTCTTTGGTAGGGAAAGTATCAATTGCACCTGCTTAGAAACTCACAGAAAATAACGACACATTCAAACACTGGAGCGTCGTTGAGTTGAGCCATTAGCAACATAGTGTGTGCATGGGCTGCACCTGTACTGCGACCCCCGCCCCCCCAACACACACACACACACACACACACACACACACACACACACACACACACGCACAGCAGCAGCAGCAGCCTTGCTCAACACAGTGATAGCATCTCCAGTGGTACCAATTTTTTTAAGTGGGTAACGCATCCACAACGCACCTGGATGCGTTATGAAAGACGAGATGCTACATGCACCGTAGTATCCGTCACCACACGACTGTGTCAGGTGGAGCATTGGTTAAAATAAATAAAAAAATATATATCAATTTTATTTATATCAGGCCACTTCTGTGCAGCTGCAAAAAGAATGAATTTTGAGTGTGCCAAGCAACATGGGATTATATTTATATTTTGGAATTTTGTTCAGCAATGAGCTGGGCTGTCATTGTGCATTTCATCCAGGTGCTTTTCATAGTTCCTTCTTAATAATAGCAAACGATGTGGACAGTGAACATGATGGATTTTGAGTTGACTTACTACTTGCTTGAACCAAGTAATGACTTGACTCGACATGCTTTAAATTTGGTAGCGACTTGCCTTGCTTGATTTTTTTTTTTCCACAGTAACTTGCGGCTTGTTTGAGACTTGAAGTGTTTGACTTGAGACTCACATGCCACTTGCACCTTTGTGACTTACTCCCACCTCAGCCGAATGGTATCGAAAACAGATGTACGAATGAAATCGAACAGAGATTATCACCTTTAAAAGATTGTGCAAATGCTTTTGGACAATGTTAGCAAACGTTTCGGCGTCATCAGAGTTGAAAACTGTTGGAAAATAGTCATAGTTAAGCGATGTTTAGCTGTTACTGGTCACATTTTGGCAGGTTTTTAATTCCTGTTTCGATTCCCATTCCCATTGGCTTTGATTTTCACTGTGAATCTACATTGACTAATTTTTCTTAGAGGTGTCGTTTGTGTGCATTTCATATTACACTTGTGTGGTAGTCATTATTATTTAACAGTATATGTGGGAGCTCAATAAATGAGATGTTTATCACCTTGTGTCATTTTGTGTCTTAGACAGGGATCATTTGTACTCATACTTGTATGGTAAATTGCTTGTACAGTTAATAAAGGTTTTATGATGGCGCCTGTTAGAACTTACTAAAATTACTAAAAGGGCATACAGTGCAAGAACAAGATTTTTAAAACCATGATTTTAAAAATATTTGAAAGACCTTAATCATAGGTGCGGGAAAAGAGCGTTCTTTTTTTTTAAATCCGGATTTAAAAGCATTTATCATTATGTTTTGAATTGTTATGCATTCATATTATTCACTCTGTTAATAAAGGACACCATCAAATTGGGGCATTTCTGGGAAACTTCTTTTCTTTTCCACTGGATTTCTACGGGAGGTGGCATTGCTACATTTTAGTGCAGTATTATTACTAATTGTGGAAGAATATATGTATCTTTGTAGGATTTTATAAGAGATGTTTCACCAACACGTCTGTGCAGGGCAGGAGACTATTTTAAGAATGTGTCACTTTTTTCCCCTCTCAAACATCAATCTGAGTGAAACCGCAAAGGAAAAAAAAGCATTTTCAAGTGTGAGTGGGGTAAAGATAGGCGACAACAAAGCTTTGAGGAAAAAGTCCCCTTTTGAAAAGATTTGGGGGACAGTCCCATTTCTTTATCTTTGTTCTCTCATACGGACAAGAAAGATGGTGCCCCCCCATCACCCTACACGCCTCCTCCCCCGTTGCAAATGATGTGCGCTGCTGAGGCCGCAACATGTCCCCAACCTGTCTCACTCAATAGCTGGATGAGGTGGTGCCCGTCAAAGTCGTAAGGAGAGGACAAGTGAGTTTGTGAAAGTGGGACAAACGTCTGTGACAAGTGCAGGACTGAGGATGATGCGAGGTAGGCATCCAATTCTTTTGTAGCTGGCGGGTGTGTGGGCAGGCGTGTGTGAAATGTAACATTTGATGTCATGTTCAGTGGAGCGGGTGAACATTTGGCTACTGATTGGATCCAAGTTGGTTCGTGAAGGATCCAGTCCGGCACTGGAGCAGTTTTGACAAGGCTTTCTCTGCCCTTGTCAACTCAAACTGCATTGCCTGTTTGGGGTATTGATTTGCACACTTATCTAATACTCCAACTAAATTGTAATCTTCTCTTAATTCCACTTTTGACACATGTACTGTATGAGATAATCGTTATAATATTTTATCTGATCCTATCCAGCTGCATCTCCAAGAATTTTCTCTTTATTCAGGGTGTCTTACTTTGTCATCACGTTATTCTGTTGGGGCAATTTTTAACATGTCCTCCAAGGGCGATACTACATTAATGAATTAAGCGTGCAACAATTGATTATTTATGATGATCACTTGTGGGTCAAATGTATTCATCTCGGTTTTCTGAGCACGCCGCATTGAGTACTCTCCAACACACCAACCTAATACTTTTTTCAAATTTTTAAAATCTGTGACTGTATATCCAGCAAGCACACGTACTGTATCTACAGCAGTTAGAGCAGGTATGTTTAGTTTCCCCCCCCCCCCAAAAAAAAGAAGGAATTGTGAATTCACATTGTCATTCTCAATGTTACATGAAATGACTTCATTTTATATCCGCCCTCACTCTTGGCCGCAGATCTTAAATCCATCCAAATCTACTTGATCTATATCATCCAACCATTTTCGATAGCACCTGTCTTTATGAGTGTCTAAAATCACAATAATATCCCATTAACGCTACCTGTCCTTTCACACGTTTCAAGAAACCTATTTCGGTACGACCGTGCAACCGTGGCTTCAAAACAAACAAAAGTTATGTCTGAAGTCTTCCAATCAGCCAGGTGATTGTTTAAAATATTCTCAAAATGATTGTGGTCATGGTGTTGGACGGAGAGCTGTTTCTAATATTTTGACTCTTATGTCACTAAATGAGCTAACCATAATCTTCAAAGTTTCTCTCAGTATGATGCTACGTCACTGTAATATCTACAACTCCAATAATAAAAATATTGTGAGGTGAGTAACTCTCCGACAGGGTCTATGAAAAGCAAGCAGTATTTTCTTTGCCAACTCATCATTTGTGATCTCATTTGTCGCCACCCGTTTTGTCCGGTGAATGTGCTGTTAACAAGTCGCAGAGGAGATGGTGATCATATTCGAATGTGTCAAGATTTAACAATGAGTGATGAAATCGAATATCACATCCCAATGCGCATAGGGGGGGGGAAGGGGGGGGGATCAGTGAAAACAAAATGAATTGCGAATGCTGTGCGACATTTGGGGGATTCCTGCGTCTGTTCTTCTGAAAGGGTTTCCTCTGTTGCGCTGCAGCGTCTTTATCAAAGTCTTCACATCAAAGCGCGCAAGTCTGGCAGGTGACACATTTCTTCCAAAAATATGGCAAATGATAAACAAGCGTCGAGTTGATTCATACGCGCTTGTGAATGTCAAACCATTACGGCTTTCCAAATGGATCACTTCAAAGTAGATCAGATCTGATGCGATCAAGTCGTCGAGCAGTGTCATGTTGGGAGGTTTTCTCGCATTGAATAGAATTGAAATTTTTTTTTTTTTGTATAGCTCTCCTGCATTGCTTCCCCGGTCCCCTGAACTCGGGTTCACATCCCCACACTCGCCCTCACAAGACCAAGTCAAATAAAATTGCCCAACCGTGACAATAGTGTGATGGTGCACTTAGTTTAATTTATTATCCATATAATTTCATTTTTAAAATAGGCTTTCCAGTTTGTCAAAAAAAAACAAAACAAAGATATTTAAATTTGATTTAAATATTGTCTGAACAGAATACCTCAATTAACTGAGGTCATAATAAATGCTGTAAACCTTTAAAAAAGGCATTTAAATTCTTTTGAGATTGTGCACTTTCTATTGTCTATTTTTCAACTTAATATGTGTTCTCAATCTTTTTGGGTCCTATCACCTCTTACAGGTGTGACATTGTTTCAAGAACCCCACCTCAATTAGATATTTCTAACCTGTGCACACCTGAATGCCTTACCCATGGAACTAAATATTCATGAGCTGTTAAATAGGAATTTAACAAACTTCAATATGTATCCATTGTCACTGGCTAACATGTCACAGCTTGGCTGCGGGCAGAGAGGGAAAGTTTACAAAAGCACAGTCAGTATTGCCAATCTCCAGTACAGTTTGCGTATGTATTTGATGCATAAAAAGAACAACTTTTTTGGTCCCTCAAACTTATCTCCTTATTTTGTTTGTCAGGGGGGGAAAAATATATATATTTTTTAAATAACTTATTTCAAGTGTTACGTTTTTTTAGACTCAACTCTTTTGAATGGTAAACTGCCTTCTATTGCTTGAAAAAAAATGTGCATACGCGTGACAGCAAATCAAAATGTAAACAAAAACGCTACTTGTGCAGCAGGTAGATTATCCTTGAATTGATTGGTCATGCCTGCAGCCCACACGATTATTTTATATATATACCTGTATAATGTTTGCGTGTGGGTGTTTTTCTTTTTTAACTACTGGTACCAAAGACAAACTTCCGTCACAGGAAAGTTGAGGTTTTTTTTTTGTCCATTTACAGTGTGTAGCACAGACTGCTGACAGGTGATTTTTGTCTGAAGCAGATCTGTTTCGCCCACCCAACCAGATGCCCCCCCCCCTCCACCCCACACGCATGCAAGCACACACGCAAACCCCAGAGCGTTGTGCAAAAGTTGTGTGCGTGATATAATCTAGATTTCAGTTCCTTCCTTCTGTTTATATTCTATTAAGAAACTCCTCTGCTCAAGGAGCAGGCAATGCAGGTAAAAAGAAATCCAATGAATTCTGACGTTCTCTCTAAAATTGTGAGATCAAATGCCTCTATAAACAAAAATACATACAGATTCCTAAACAAGATTTGAAATATAAAACCATCTGTTAAAAAATACTCACAATCACTCACATACAGGAACAGTGTTTGTTTTTTGAACATCATTCAAACTGCCCAAGTGAAAATTTGAGTGCAGCTTTTGAGTAAATAGTTTTGTATTCAATGCTTGTTTATTTAGTCAAAAGAACAGGTACATCTTGGGTCGTACCTGAAAGCACGAATACGTCCCATTGGACCTCACTTTTGCCAATCTGACGTGTTTACATGACATTTATCAGTTACTGCGCAAAATCAGGTCCACCCTTGCATGGAAAGTTGCTGGAAGGCTGTCGGCGCGGTGCGTGATTACAAATGTGTGAACAGTGAAAGGTTGTGGGTCACGGTGGATTTCCTGTTGTTTTGAGGTTGACAATCACAACTGAAATTGCGAAAAAGCAGAGGCCGCTGATCGAGACCGCTCTTTCCTTCGTTGGGCTCATCCTGCACCTCCCAAAACGTGTGTTGTCACCACTCTGCAATTTTGACCACAGTGTTTTATAACGGACAAAGACATGAAAGAATGATTAGGTTGTATTTATTCTACCTGAAGGAGAAGTTGTTTACATTCTTTCCTAGTGCACCACCACTGTGTATAAATGGGAGAGTGTATTACTAAGCATTTTGCCCCTCCCGATCACAAACGGCAAATGATTTTATGTTTTATAAGACCATAATGTGGTCTGAGGTGTGTTTAGAGTAAATTTGTCTGCAAGGGCCCGGCCCCGCCGACCTTAAGTATGAATCGTCTTCAATATTTATGACTGAAAATCATCAGGTGGGGAATGCAGAAAACTCCTGAGTCATTATTCGAAGATCTGCGTTGTGAAACGTACTGTAGCCGATCAAGAAAAGACCTGACTGAGGAACAAGGATGCAGGTGTAAATAAAAAAACATGTCCTACCTATGCTGCTGGGAGAACTGTTCAGTCAAGCGCTTTGTTACAGATGTAGTTGTGGTGAAAGTGCTACATAAATAAAGATGTATTGTATTGTATTGTATCATAACACCAGCCATTAGCTTAATTTGAGAATTCAGTTCTAGCTCAGTTAGTATGCCATAAAGTTCACTTTCTCAACCTCCCGAGGATTTTTTTTCCTCTTCTTCTTCTATTTCTTTCTTTCTTATAGTGATTGGCCAATACTTTTAGTGCATTACCACCACCACCACTTTCTTTTGCATGCTAGAAGGCCCTCATTAGCACGCTAAAGTAGGTCTTCTCAACTAATGTGTGATGTCTCGCTCGTTTAGCATACGGCTTCCGCCACTACAAGGATTTACTATTTTAAGCACCAAAAGGCGCACTATCCAATTATTGTTGTACCTTTGGCCACAATGTGATGCGGGATTCTAGTTAAAGTAAGTCATTTTAAACTAAAAAGGAAATCATTTCCACAGTTAGAAGCTGAAAATTCTAATCCAACCGCAACTCATTCACTGCTGTCAACACAATGTGTATGCGTACGTATGCGTGTGCGTGTGCGTGCGTGTGTGCGTGTGTGTGTGTGCGTGTGTGTGTGTGTGCGCGCGCGCATATGTTGCACTTGAGTATAAGTCACAGGACCAGCCAAACTGAAAGAGTGTGGCCTATAGTCCGAAAAACCCTTACACCAAAACATTCAACTAACAAATTCTCATACTTAATACTAAAATAATAAACCTTTCTTAGAATGTTGCATGAATTGTTTTCATAAATTTTCTCCGGCACTCACACAGTGAAATTGTTCGTCACAATCTGACTGTAGGTTGTCCCTTTGTTGGTCTCTTCGGTGATAAGGGTGATAAGTATGGCACCAGGAAAGAAGGGCACACACTGACACACTAACACGAAGACACCCTGACACAGTTTGACACAAGCAGGAGACAAATCAACAAAAACTCTTGTCTTCTTTTGCATTCGCCGCAGGAGGAACAATGTCAGTCAGAATCAATTAAAAAAAAAAATGCTGTCGGACAAGTCTGCTCGCTTCGTTTTCTGTTTTTCATCACTGACACTGTCAATCCTTCTTGCAAAGATGAGAAGAACTCAGCTTTGCTCATCAATCATTTATTTTCACAATTTGTTTTGGTGTGTGTGTGTGTGTGTGTGTGTGTGTGTGTGTAAAGCAACAGAACTGACCCAGATGTAAGAGCTAATTGAGGTTAGGAGTGTTTAGGGGCATAGGGGGGATGGCCATTACTGGCAATGATGTCGCGAGAGAGCATTACTGGCAGCCATGTCCTTGATGAGCGAGACAGAGAAGGATTTGGCTGAGAAAAACACAACTTGACAATCTAGTCAACCACTTGAAAAGACTTTGAGGTTTCACACCCCCACACTTGTCGCCTCTCTCCATTTGTACAAATTCCACCTCCACACAAGACAGCCGCCTCGATTTGATGGCATTTTTGTCATTATTCGTGATAGTGTAATGGAAACTAGCTTCTCCTTTCACATCATTTGATTTCGAGGGGGAAGTACATTGCCTGCTGTCAGAGTGGGAATTCAACTTTCAAATTAGAAAAAAAAATGCTCATCACAATATACATATTAGCTGTTTAGTTTCATTTTATGTATTTAATTTCCGGTCGCACGTCTGTCGACTGGTTAGCATGTCCGCCTCACGGTGCAGAAGTGAAGGGTTCGATTTCGGGTCCGGCCTTCCTGTATGGAGTTTTGCATGTTCTCCCCGTGCCTGCGTGGGTTTTCTCCGGGTACTCCGGTTTCCTAACACATGCGTGGCAGGTTAATGGAACACCCTAAATTGTCCCTGGTTGTGAGTGTGAGCGTGAATGATTGTTTGTCTATGTGTGCCTTGCGATGGGCTGGCACCTGGTTCAGGGTGTCTCCGAAGACAGCTGGGATAAGCTCCAGCACGCCCGCGACCCTCGTGAGGAAAAGCGGATTAGAAAATGGATGGATGGATAGAGTCAAATGTATGCTATAAACTGTATTTCTTGATTTGTACAGCCAAAATGTTGCTGTTTGTCTTCAGCTACGACTGGAATGTCTTCTTCTTTGATGGATCATCCACTGTACATAGTGTTTACACACTTTACACCATATGACTACACGTGCAGTAACTCTGTCAAGATTTTGAAGACTTTTTAGTTTTGAGTGCATCGCAACAATTTTTTTTTTTTGCACTCTGCATATCGCCTGAAATTTTGACCATAATTGAATGCCTAACTTTTTGCTTGATTTCTAATGACATTGTCACGCGAGCAGATTGTTGAATTCTATGTCCCGTTGCTGCTGTATTAAAGTATGTTAACAAAAAACATTTTGTGTCTATTCAGCTCAGATTGAAGTTATCCCTTGCAAGATCTGCGGTGATAAATCCTCCGGAGTTCATTATGGAGTCATTACATGTGAAGGCTGCAAGGTGAGACAAACACATGAGAAATTTGACATTTTAATTGCTTGTGTGCAAACAATAGCCTCTAAAGTGACTGCTTCAAATCATTTTTTAAAAAAGTTCATGAATTCAATCGATCTGAAACAAAGGGAAAATACATTTACAATGCAAATGGGAACTACCGGTATTCACAGTGCTTCCAATTTACACATTTTATGTTTCGGCTTATCCAAAGAGCGAATAAATTCATTTTTGATCATAATAATTGCAAATAATAATAGTGTTAATTTCATATTGTTTTAAGTGATTAAAATAAAAAAAGAACATTTTTTCAAATCGAATTTGGAATAATGCTTTATCACACAATGCCAAAATATAAAAATACTCTAAATGCACTATATAGGCAGACAACAGTCTTTTTAGAAAGAGTGGCACATATAAAACACAAATTACAATTCAGGTTTGAGGAAACGAAGCTAATAATCCCTCTTCGTCTGTGGTCAAACTCTTCATGCCTCAGGGATTTTTCCGGCGTAGCCAGCTGCCCACGGTGTCCTACTCCTGTTCCAGGCAGAGTAACTGTACCATCGACCGGTCCAGCCGCAATCGCTGTCAACACTGCCGTCTGCAGAAGTGCTTGGCCCTGGGCATGAGCAAAGACGGTAAAGCATACACCCTTTACGCCTTATTTGGATTTGAACTCTACGAAAGAGACTTGTTTTTGTGTCCTTGAAAGCGAGGGTTAGAAGAGGCGCTAAGGAATACTTTACAAGTGGGAAGGCTAAAAAAATATTTTTGATACAAATTCGGTCTGTCTAGATCAGCATTTTTCACTTATTACCGATGAGTCCAAAACATATCCCACGCAACAAACGCTAGCTTACGAAATGTTTACGGTCCCCTTCAGCTGTGAAGTTTGGTCGGATGTCCAAGCACCAGCGGGACGCACTCATCGCTGAGGTTGAGCGTCACAGACTACAGCAGCAGCAGCAGCAGCAACAGCAGCTGCAAGTGGACGCCCACTCAGGCTTGTCCTACCACACCAAGGAGCGCCAAGACTGTTCCCCACAGCTTCTTCAGCCCATGACTTCAGCCTACACCTACTCGGGCGATTCTGAGCCGTTGTCTTTCAGTCCTGATGTTCACCCCTACGTACTGTACTCCCCCAACCAGCCGCAAGTGTCCGATATGATCTACAGAAGCTCCGGCGTCTCGCCCTCATCCAGAGCCCACCCGAGGGTAGACACCAGTGGACACGCTGATTTGAGAGGTGATGCCCTCCACTATGAACACACTCAATGTTATTGTTTTCATTGGCTGTTTTCTGAATCAACCATTCTTTTCCGACTGTCTAATCACTGCATAGTTTTTTTTTTTTTTAAATAGGTGGAACTCTTGTTTAGTTATCACTCAAATGAAAAACAGTTTTCGAGCACTACCCGGGCACACCGTTAACTAGGTCATTGCTGTTGCATAATTACACGATACCGGATTAATGTGGTTTACGTTCCCTGTTAAATATTTTTCTAAAAGCAAATGAGAATAGAATTCTATCATTTAAAGTTGAGTGATTTAAAAACTACAAATTGTAATGTGTACTGTATTAAGGAAAATATCACTCTATAATGTTGTTCAATACAAAATCATAACGTCATTAAATAAAATGGAAAGAACGTGAAACAGTTTGTGTATTACGATTAAGTCATTGTGATAGGATTGCACCTTCTGGTGTGCACATCTTGTCCACCTGGGGGCAGCATAGTACAGACCTGCGGATATACAGTACATCTAGAGATCGAGGAGAGGGTCACAACTCGAGCTGCAGTATTATTTGACAGAGGATAAAGACTATCTGCCTGTGAATATTGTTATATTCTCTGTCTACTTGTATTAGTCCACTCTTTGTGTTTAATTGTTGCATAAAATGTAAAACTAACCTAGCACCGATGCTATTCGTCAACCCATCTCTAGTGTTTTGCATTGTTTATTAGCATTTAGCTAACCGGACTTTACTAAGGCAAAAGCTATGTGGTTCTTATAAATACACAACACATAATTGCCTTTGTTCTCTGTTTAGTTTGACAACAAACGTCAACCGTGAGTGGCTTTCAACTGCCCGAAGCCTCTTTTTGAAGAATTGTTCAATATTTGCCAAACTGCTGCTTGTTGTGAAAAGAGCTGTCGCCACACATCTCACATTCAATCAATACCATGGAAAACGGCAAATGCTTTATTTTTCTGTATTTGTCGTGTGATGTACTGTATTTGTTTTTCTCGTGAGCATTATCGTTCACTACTTTTCTGTTACATTGTGGGCACCGATATTCACGTCTCATTCGAACCGCTGTACAAAATGGCAAACTCGCCAGATAGTGAATGAATAAGGAGTGATTATGAACATAGTACTGTCTTAATCGTCTCCATTCTCTCATCCCCACATTAGGATTGGAATCCAGACCGTCCTCACATGACCCAATGGCAATTCATCCCTATAATCCACCCGAGGATCCTCGCGGGCCCTATCCTCACTCTCTGCGCAATATAGGTGAACTAACAGGACAGTTTGGAGGAATGTTTTCCGGGCCGAGCATATACATGTTGTAACTTTGGTATGATTCGTAAATGCATGTTATTTCCATGGTACGGTGGACGCGCAGTCTAAATTGCGGGACTAAGGCTCCACTTTCTTTGGAGGCAGGGGTTCAAATCCACCTCCTGCCTCTACTTTCGTCAATTTCCTTCACAGGATCAATAAAATATCCAAAGGAAACCCATGTACAGTTTAACTGTATAAGCCCCCTCCCTACCCGTCTTAAAGCTACTTTTTATTCTTTGGCTTTTGACTCAGCATGAGACTTGATTTTTAGTTTGACTGTTTTTGTGCTTTCTACTGTCTTTGTTATGAATTTATTGTTTTAGGAATTATTTTGCTCCATGTACATCACTTTGTATACAATGAGGGTTGTTTTAAAGTGCTCTATAAATACAGTTGAGTTGAGTTAATAAGCTAAAAATATTTATTGAATGACATTTCACAATGTGATAGTCTCGATAAAGTGCTGCATGTAAAACTGAACATACAAAAAGATGAACAGTTCATGGAACAAAACGAGCTTCTACAAGAACAAATTTAGTATCAAGTCAGGGTTATTAACACAGAAATAACTAGTGATTCGATATTATACAGCAAGAAAAAAAGAAGGCACTCTAAAATAACTGATGAGAAAAATAAATACATTTAATCAAAAACAAATAAAAGGATCTTTTCAAATTAAAGTTTCAATGATGGCAAAATAACATTTGACAGAAATTAGAGCCTAATGATCTGCAAATATGACAAATGCTTTCGCGATCTTCATGTTTGTGCGAGAAGCCATTTGTGCTTCTGCAGCCCATTTTCTCAAAATAACTACTGGATGCCCCATTTCTAAATACCAAATGAAATCTGCACTGTACTTTTGTAAGAATTTTGTCTTTTGGCAAGGTTTAGCATGAATTTTGTTGTCATTTTTTTCTTAATGAACAATGTTGCCATAACTTTCTAATGGCTGGATTTTGAAGAACTGATTTATGCATCACTTCCTCTGGCGGGAGGTATGATTGGAGTTGCACCTCTTATATATAACTGGATAGTCAATTATATCTCCGATGTCTCACCTATACAGCCCCCAAAACTGAAAACTATGTTGAAGAATCACTGCTCAAAGCGATAATGTCCACATCATCTTTCTGATAACTTTTCCTATTTGTTTAGATGAGCTGTGCGACAGCATCGTGCGCTCCAACAAAGACACCTGCCAGTACCGAGCAGAGGAGCTGCAGGCGCTCAAGTGGAAAATGTTCAGCAGGGAGGAGATCCAAGCCTACCAGAGCAAAGTAACTCCCACTCACATGCCTACCCTCTTCTTGTGTTCACGCGAAGGGCTTTCTCAAAGCAAGATGCTCCCTTTCAAAACGCTCGAGACCGCGGCTACTGTTCTGTTTGATCAACCAAACAGGAAACTAAGAAAACATGAATTTCAGATTGTTCACCCTCTCTTCTTCCCTTCCTCTCTCACTTGCTTACTAGAATGACACGCAACTCCACCAAAGCCCAACTATTATTGGAGGTTAAAAAAGTGGGTCCCCATAGTGGTGCTTGCCCACGTTTTTTGAATAATCAGGCCATTACCAGATAAATAACTAACTCACTAACTAACTTTTAAATACAGCGGCAACTCGACTTACGAAATTAATTGGTTCTGGAAGAAATTTTTTAATTAGAAAATGTTTGTAAGTAGAGATGCGTTTTAAATGCCCTAATCCGTTCCAAGCCCTCCCAAAATTCAGACAAATGTTTTCTAAAGCATAAAAATGTATCAAAATATGGAACAAAAACATGTTACAATTAGATGATTGCACAATAAATGAGAGCTGTGCATAATGTAAAAAAACAAAGAGTAAAGAAAAAAGATGACGGTCATTTAACTTTTAACTGCGTTCGCATCGTTTTTTGCCCTCTTTAATCCATGTTCTCTCTCTGTCATAGTTTTTGCCTGGCGTTTTGTAAAGAACTGATCCAAGGACGATTGCTTTTATCAGCTTTTAACAATCCTTCGAAAATGTCCAAGGCAAACATCAGCATAGTGAGCGATCTCCGACTGGTGAACATTTTTTCTGGGTGATTGACATTCACGTAAAACTATCGGAACCCCTTATGGCCCGAGCGCCGAATGACGAGGACGCTGCATAGACGCATTCTTCTATCGACAGATAGAGTGTAGATTCTACACACTTAGACACACACGGTAGAGGTCCCTCTTAACCAATGGGATGCCAGGAAGATGCTCGGTAATAGCCAATGGCAGAGCAGCTATAAGTATGTTGCGTTCAGGAAACTAGGAGCTGCGACACGTATTTTTACCTTTCGTATCTTGAAATTTCTTTCTGAACAAGAGGCAATATTTTCCTGTAGAGGCGTTGCGTAACTTGAAAATTTCATTTGAAGAGATGTTCGTAAGTATAGGTACCACTGTACTAATTGACCAACTTTGAAGCGATCACAATGTAACATTCAACTGACTTTCAGCATACCTAGCTTATGATATTGTTGTACTTACTTTAAAAACCACTTCCCTATCGCATATTGAGTGATTTGGTGAATAACCTCCGACTTTGTTCATTATGTTTCTACTGAAGATGCATGGCGAATGGCCTCCGTTGTCTTTACGCAATTAACCCTTTCATGCACCGTGTAACATGATACACTGTCCACTGTAGTAACCGCTGTCCCTGAAAGGGTTAAAGAGAGAACAACTTTTTATAGCCAAGGGAGTGTGTGGGCCAATAATTTAATATTTGTCTTTGGCTAAGGGAAACCATTATGCAATGAGAAGCATTTATCTTGAGTTTTCTTTTTTCTTCGTAAAAAGATAGATACGTCCTTTTCTTTTGGCGCCATTACGCTGGGTTCATTCGGGATGAGCATTTTTGAGTACAATACACTTCCTCAACTATAGAGGAAATAAATGATCAATAATTCTGTGAATTCAGTTTTTTTTAATGCATACTTTTGCCTGGTACAGTTTATATTTAAACAAATCAAACTCAGCTTCGGTATTACAGTCATGGCTGGGACTTACCATGAATCAAATTTGTTGACTTCAGTCAGTGGATGAGATGTGGCAGCACTGTGCCATCCGGCTGACCGATGCCGTGCAGTACGTTGTGGAGTTCGCAAAACACATCCCTGGATTCCGTTTCCTCAGTCAGAACGACCAGATCGCCCTTCTCAAAACCGGTGAGTTCACTTTCCCTTCACGCCACTTCAAATCTGAATACAACTGTGAGTCTTCCTTTGACCTCAGGTTCTTTGGAGGTTGTTCTGGTGAGGATGAGCCGCTTCTTCAACACAGAGAACAACACCGTCTTCTTTGATGGCAAATTTGCAGGAACTGAAGTCTTCAAGTCTTTGGGTGAGGCCTCTTCTACACGAAGGCACTCTTGAAATCTTTGGGCCACTCAATGACACGTCCCGGCTTTTCTCTTGCAGCATGTGGCGACTTAATAACCGCGGTGTTCGACTTTGCTCACAGCGTGTGTGCTTTAAGGCTCACCGATCAGCAGGTGGCTCTCTTCAGTGCTCTGGTCTTGATCAATGCAGGTTGGATTCATTCACTCATCCAGTTTTGTATTTACCGCTGGCATTAAATCAACTGGACACTTCATTAGGTAGAGTTGAGAAGTGCAAACGCAAAAGCCGCCAAGCGCCATTTAGACAAACTGTGCAATCAAGCCCTCTTTAAAAAAAAGAATGAATTAATCTGCATTTCAATAAACGATATCAGATGTATTATACATAAATGTTTTGGTCTTATAAGTTAGACTTGTGGTAAATATATTGTGTTAAATAAAGCCTTGGGAGGGGGCGGTTAAAAATTGCATTCTACTACATTTTGCGTTGTTTAATTTGATTAATTGTTTGGCTGCAGTTAAGATTAAGCGTTAGTTCCGTTTTTTTTTTTTTTTGTTTTTTTTTTTACTCAATTCACAAAAAAATTGAAATGCCAGTTTTTATGTTTCAACTCTTCAGTTCAATGTGGTCCCAAAATAAGATAAGTACATTTCTTATTAGTTTTGATTGACAATTTCAGGGCGGTATCATTTTTCAATATTTTTTTTAATAGTTGCAGTTTGCTGTGGTGCACGTGCACTGCAACAACCTCAATTGTGCATTCATTACTCAGTGCAATTTCATTATTACCGGTACCTGTATGTAGGAGATTTGGATTATGATGTTCCCGTGTTGCCCCCGTGTGGTTGGTTTTTGACATTGTCAAATTGACAAGGCCCGCAACGAACCAGCACAAACTCTGGGATGACTTTATTATGTTATGATATGACTTTGTTGTTTATTTCTGTGCAGATCGTCCATGTCTGGAAGACAGAGGAAGGGTGCAGCGAGTGCAAAGAAGTGTGGTGTTGGGTCTCACGCACATTCTACACAAAGACAACCGGGACAGTCTAATGCACAAGGTATATGCAGTAAAATAGAAGGCTGGCTAAAATGCACAGTAATAATTTATCTGTTTATTTATTTCTGTATTTATTGCAGCTGTACCAGAGGATGTCCGTGTTACGTTCACTCTGCAGTCTACATATGGAGAAGCTGCGCTGGTTCAGTCAGCGCTACCCGCTCACCGCCAACTCTCTTTTCCCGCCGCTCTACAAAGAGCTGTTTGCTTCAGAGGCAGAATTGATGCTGCTGCCGGGAATCACACACTGATGACACTCAAGAGAGTGCGCACACACGTACACACACACACACACACACACACATACACACACACACACACACAGTTTTTGTGAGATCCAATACAATATTACTGGATCATGAACTATGCAAATATAGTACATGTGGCTCAGGTTACAACCTGGGTCGGTCGACAGTCAATTGCAGGGCAGGTATAAAAAAAATAGCCATTCACACTCACATTCACATCTTTGAACAATTTTGGGTCTTTAATTAACATAACACACATGTTTTAGGAAGTAGGGGGATGCTGGATTAAGCTCGACAAAACCCACACAAGCACGGCAAGAACGTCGCACAGGAAGGCCGGAGCCAGAATTTGAACACCTCAGAACTGTGAGGCGCACGCGCTAACCACAGGCTGCTCTCAGTCTTTCATATTTCTGCAAAAAGTGTCCGGCGGTCCTGTTTTCTGAAATTCCCTTTATAGCATTATTTTTAAAATAGAAATGACGGACATATGATTTAATTTAGCTTTTTAATAGCCGCTCAGCAAAGGAAAATCATGCAAATGCAGTGAAGAGTCTTGGACTTCCGCTAACATCCCAGGCGAAACTGAGCTCCTCCTTGACAAAGTTAAGTCAGAATGTATCACTCAAACATTACATACTAGTTGCTACTTTCCTATTAGCTAGAGCATTGGCAGCCTTTTTGGCATTTTAAGACATCACAGAAAGAGCAGAAAAACAGCAAATAAGGATATATCGTATTTTTTCAACTTTATAACAGAGAAAATTAAATCCGCTGATATTTTTGCCATTTTTGGGGGGGGGGGGTTACCGTATATACACATTCCTGATCAAAAAAAAAAACTCAAAAAGTGTCAATAAAATCTGAGCATTACTATCATTTTGGTTCAGGCAGAAGGAGTGAAATGTATTGGATCGCATACGTTTGTCTGGGTGTATATTTTTGTGACAGAATCTATTTTTATATTGTGGAATCATAGGAGTCGCCACAACTTGAAAGAACACATCACTCAGATAATTCTGTATTTTGATAGCTGAACTATTTTTGAATTATTCCTGAATTTCATTCTTTGGAATGTTATTTCTGAAGATGTACATTATGTTATAAGACTGTGTCAGCTTGCAGTGTGACGTGATCCAGTTGCAACCCTCATTGTTTCCCTCTCTGTAGGGCTTTGGTAAACTTGACTAGATACTATTTTTTTATCTTACAGCCTACAGAACTTCCATCACATTCACTCAGCATATTCAACAGGGTGCTCAGAATGTTGTGAAGCAGAATGATTATTACAAACGTGTCACGTGAACTCGAACTGAACGTTTATTGTGTTGAAAACAAAGCTTCGGCTTCTATTGCTTGTGGCATTAATTGTAGAATAATACAGCAATTTATCATGCATAAGGTTAAGATTAAAGTCTGTCAACATGAAGTGAGTAAAATGCTGACACTGCAAGCGCAAGGAAATGTGTCAACCACTTCTCTATTTTGAAGGTTTGGAAATAAAAATGTTGGAAATGTTGATCCAAGGGCGACTCCATGCTCTTACGGCACTTGAAGACAGATATGCTGTATTGGTTGGCATCTTAGCTCTGACTATCACAGACTTGGCATTGCATTGAACAAAAGCTGTACTGGAAGTGGTCTCTGCAAATGTTGTCATGTAGACAAAACAAAGGCCGCCAGAGCAATTGAAAGTTAGATGAAAAAAAAAAATGGCGATGAGTCAGGAGGATATGATTAAGAAGAGCCTGACACATCGCACAGCTGCTTTTTATCTGCAATAAGCATTTTTTTTTTATTGTGGTGTTACTTTGGCAACTAATACAGCTTAGCACAGATAGCACAGAGGAATTCTCTTTTAAAATGTCATTCAATGGGCTTTATTGATTTACTTTTTTATGCTCCTTCTGTGGAAATGTTTTTGTTGAGAATTTGTGTTGTAATGAACAGTGCAAATAAATCCTTACAATTAAATTTAAAAAATGTAAAGCAACTTTTTGCAGTAAGAAGCAATTTATTCACTTGCACAAGGGACATGTTTGTGGATCTGTATATGGATACTGTATATACCGGAATGGATATAAAAAGTCTACACACCCCTGGACAAATGCTAGTTTCTGTGAAACCACGATGTTGACAAAAAACATTAATTTGACCTACTTGGTTATCACAAATGATTTTTTGAAAGAAATATTTTTGAGAAGGGAAGTACAAACAAAAAACTGAGACACTGTGGTTGCAGAAATGTGCACACCCTCATAACTGGAATATGGCTGTTTTCAGAATTAACCAATCAAATTCACACATTAAATAAGAGTCAGCGCCCAAATAGAGTTCAGCTGTTCTTGTACCGGTAAGTTTTCTTGAGGGGTTTTTTTTTTTTTTTGCTCTAAAAAGCCTGAAGGTTTTGTGCTAACTGCATACCGTGTTAACTTCTCTAGCTCAGATTAGTATGTATGTGTCCTCTTCAAAGTTAAACACAATTCATGACACTTTTGGAGTTCATGTAAAAGTGTAAGTAATTAAACAACATTCTTTAAAAGTTGCAGTCAACAAACTACAGAGCACGACTCAGAGCTGCTCTCGTTTGTTTTTTCAAAACATGGCGAGAAGGAGGGACCGTGCAGAGGTCGCACTTATTTCTCCGAGTGGAATCTGGGAGGCCACAGTAACCCCGGGCTCACGATAAGAAGGAATTTAAAGGCCTCGAAAAAACGTCTTGAATCATTGGGATAAAAAGTGTACACAGCCGTGTTCAAAAGCCAGGTTTTTGTGACAAATAAAAACAGACCAAAGATAAATCATGGCAAAACTTTTTCCGCTGTTAATTTTACCTGTAACTTTTACACTTGAATAAAAATGAAAACAAGTTTGAGAGGGGAAGTCAAAATAAAGAACAGATAGTGGTTGCACAAGTGTGCACACCCGCTTCTAACTTGGATTCCAATTTAACATGAATTTGATAGTGATTGGTTGGTTATGAAAACAGACACAACCCCAGGTACAAGAGGGTGTGCACACTTGTACAACCACATTACCTCATTTTTTGGTAATTTTTACTTCCCCCTTCTAAGCCAGTTCATTTTTTCTTTCTGAAATGATAGAAAACAAGCACGGTACTACAAAACAAAAGCAGACATGATAACATGAACGATATGACCTGACAATTAGAAAATAAATTACATTTAGTTGTTAAGGTGAAGGTCCAATTCATGGTTTAAAGTTTTAAAATGAGTTATCTTGGTGTCAGTTTTTCATAGTCACTGTACAGCAAGACACAGGAGTATGGATGACAAATGTCCACTGGAGATTATTCTGGGTCATGATAAATGCTTATCATTAGAATTGAAGATGAGTCACAGGTTAAAAGTTAACTTTTATCAAAAAAAAATCTACTTTATATTTTGTGAGGCCTTGGCCTTCATGCAGACGGTCTATCGAAAAGAAGCATGTGGTGTTGAAAGATACAGCCAAGAAGTGTACTCTCGCATTGAGATAAATGGAAAAATAAAAAAGTTTATTTGAGTGGGAAATCACCACAGCAGCCAGCAGGTTTCATTTTTTAAAAAAATTCAAATTCCTTAATTTCTCTCACAGGAATATTGAGTCATATAGTGTAAAGAAACATGTCTGTCTGCGCTACAGAGTACACATTGGCAGGGAAAGGACGGAAAACTGGCGTTTTACTGTATTTTTTAACTTCAATCTATTGCAACATGCTAGTAAGTGCACTGTTTACTGTCTATTAGCAAATCGCCCCAAATTCCATACTTTGTAGTATTGATCTTGAGCTGCCATGTAAAAAGCTACAGTGCAGTACTGTATAGTATGAAGTACTCCTAAACAAACAATGGCCTATTATACTTGGAAACCAATTACAGGGAGTGATAACTTAATTATAGTCTGTAAAAGTGAGTAAATATTTGAGTAGGAAGGAGTCATGTCCGTGTATGTTCTTCTCAGAAAACTTAGTCCGCTTAAGTAGTTTACATACCAGTAGCCATGTCAGATTTGATCACTGAGGATGAGTCATGTTCAAAAACTTTTCCCTCCCACCGTGACCGCCCCCCAACTTCCAATGCATAAAACGGCTCATCCGGTGCTGGCCGAGCTCAAGTTACGGACGGCACCGCAGATTCTGTGGAACCACATATCGGGTCTGAGTGCAAGCGCTGCCCCGCCGAGTGAGCTTGCAAGCCGGTTTGTGCGCTCGCTGCTCCCGCTTCACTCGACTTCCCCACCCCCGGACAGGACGAACACCGGCGACCATGGGCTCGTCTTGGCTTGTACTTCACGCAACTGTTGGGGCTCTGTTGGTTCTGCTGGGTTCGGCAGACCATGGTAAATGAATACGAAGTTGCTGCGCTGTCTGTTAGCTACTTGTTGTTGTTGTTGAGTCTTTTCTTCCTGAATGATGGATGACCAGATTCCATTTTGGATTAGCCTTTGGACTTTTTCTCTGTACAAATAGATTTCTACTTGTGCACGAATGATATAATTATAATCATTTCCATTTTTATTAGATTTATTCTACGTTAAATGTGATGTTTGTGCTTAACGTGGACATAGCAAAGAAATTGTAGTTAAAACAACATCAAATTATACTGTACTATGAACCAGTGTTTCCCACTTTATTTTGATATATTTTACTTTAGAAAATATCACATGGCTCACGTCCAAAAAATGTCACGAAATGTGGATACATGGGTTGCCCTCTAGTGGAATAGCAGGCGGCCTGGTGAGCCAGTGGTTAGCGTGTCGACCTCACAGCGCAGAGGTAACGGGTTCGATTCCAGCTGCGGCCTCCCTGTGTGGAGTTTGCATGTTCTGTGTGGATTTTCTCCGGGTACTCCAGTTGCCTCCCACATTCCAAAAACATGCATGGCAGGCTGATTGAACACTCTAAATCGGTGTGAGTGTGAGCGCGGATGGTTGTTTGTCTCTGTGTGCCCTGCGATTGGCTGGCAACCGGTTCAGGGTGTCCCCCGCCTACCACCCGAAGACAGCTGGAATAGGCTCAAGCATGCCCCGCGACCCTTGGGAGGACAAAGCGGAACAAAAAATGGATGGATGGATGGATGGAATAGCATTTATTTGTTCTACCCGTCATTATATGTCGCTAGCATCGATTGAGGAACAAAGATACTATATTATGCAATACCTATTTGGAGTAAATTAGTAATATTCACCCTAAGTAACACAGTTGAATGTAAGGAAAGTTTCTAGTTTTATAAAATAACTTCATGTACAATGGGACAAGCCCAAAGTGTCGTATGTGTGCCTTTTAGGGGCATGACGTAATGACTGATGTTGGGGGCTGAAGTTGGATTGGCCCAAGTTGGTCATTTAGTATGCATGTGGTCATGAGTTGTGGCCTACAGGAGCTCTTTGCAAATGTTAGCATTTTAGATTTGTGCGTCGTGTTCAGTAAATAGCTGAAAGTGCATTGTCAACTGTCGCGCTCTTCTTGCCCAGATGCAAGGAGTCTTTTTAAATTAAAAAAAAAAATTATGTCGAGTAATAGTGGCAGGTGTGGTCTAACCACATCATCTCAGTATGTTTGTTTTTTTTTTAAATCCGATTTTGGAAAACATTGGAAAATAAATTGACTTGAGTTGAACACGTTATCGGTGACTTTAATGGTGGAAAAAGAAATGTTTTATCTTTTGTCTCATTTTTTTCTTATCACATATCTGGCATGTAAACAGGACTGTGTAGACTTGTTATGCTATTATTAATGTTAAAATGTCACAGTAATGCGAAGTCAGGACTAATGTAATGGGGTTGTTAAAATAATTTACTCTGTAATCAACAAGGTTCAAATGGCACAGCGTGTTTAATAAAAGAGTTAAATACTTGCTGGCCGTCTGGCCCGTTCTCATATTTTGACTGCAAAACAAAACATTGCCGTTGCATAACCGTCTGACTTTTTGCTCTCCCTCTTGCTCACTCTCTCTCTCTTTGTGATTCCAATTTTCCAGATGAGCGCAACATAGAGCAGCGCGAGATCACCTTTGACATTGGCGCCATCATGCAAGGTGAGTTGTGTGGGTTTGTATTTTACATGCGAGTGCAAAATCTTTGCCAGCGATAATTAGGGGACGCATGCGACTTTTGACAAGTGTGCATTTATGCTTTGGGGCTTTTGGGCACAATTCTGGATTACTGGTATACTTTTATTGTACGTTTTTGTTTTTTTAGACAGCATGATAGAATACTGGTTTAGCCTGTCTGCCTATTTGTATTTACATTATCATGCGGCAATGATAAATCATTAGGATCAGGATTCTGTTGTAAATAAGGCTGAACAGTTAATCGAATTCAGATTGATATTGCAATGTAGTACAATTCAATTTCCCAAGTGTGTCCCCTGCCTCTGCCTCAGGTCCCCCCACTAAGTTAGGCAGTAAATTTCCTTTTCACAAACTCTTGTGTACATTTTATTTTTCTGTTTCGTTCACGTTTGGGGCCATTATGGCTGTTGCTTACCATGGCGTGCGTGCGTAAGCGCGCACGCATGTGTGTGTGTGTGTGTGTGTGTGTGTGTGTGTGTGTGTGTGTGTATGTATATATATATATATATATTTATATGCACTTGGCAGAGGTATTGACAATAAAAACGTTTGTCTTCCAGAGAGCCAATTACCGGAATCATTTGTGATGCAGCAAGAGGCAGACTTGTCAGATCTGGTTGATACAAGAGGTACCGGTGTGTCTTTTATCGAAAATAAATATAAAATATGAAGCTGCAATATTTGTGAATTATTCATCTGAAAAAGAAAAAAATATATGTATAAAATGGAATGAAATCACAACAATTTTGCATTACTGATTATATTATTACATATCCTGTTCTTTTTCATTTATAGACTTCCCCGTCCCGGAAATATTGGACACTCCAAGAGGCAGAGGTGGGCTGTTTTAACTCTATACCAATATATTGACTTAAATATTTTAAGGGAAAACAAAATACTT